TTTCTAATACCTGATTTCTTTTATTTTTGCTATGATGACAGAACATAATATTTGACTAGATATTTTCAAAATACAAGCATTCAAATTAAAGTGTGATTCAAAGGCTTAACTAGGGTAATTAGTAAAGTCATTGTATAACAGTAGCTTCTTCTGCAGACAATCAAAGAAATATATTTCTCAAGGCGGCTAATAATATTGATCTTAAAATAGTTTTCAAAATATTTAAACCTGCTTTTATTATAGCCAAAAAAAACAAAAAACAAATAAGCCTTTTCTCCAGAAGAACAATTACTATAGGAAATACCTTTGTTATGTTAAACATAATTAAAGAAATATTTATAAAAAATAATAAAAATAATAATAATTTTGACTTCAACTGTAATCGTTTTGAATAATCATGATTGCAATTATGACCAAAATAGTTGTGATTATGATTTTTCCCATAATCGAGCAGCCCTAGGTACAGAACAAATTTGTACTTAAAGGGCATATATTGGTAGGTTTATACTGTACCTAAACATTTCAAGAGGTGAGCTTTTTTAGGCACTAATATGTACCCTTGAGGTATTAAAAAGGGCCCTTTAAATACAAATATGTACCTTTCGAAAAGGTACCACCCCTGGGACAGCTCTTGTACCTTTATTTCTGAGAGAAAACAAAAGATAGAAGATGCTAAATCTGAGGAATAAATGCTGAAAGATGCTTGCTATTAAATAGCACATCCTGTCAGAAAAGCTGTTTCTTGGTGCTGAAGAGATCACGTTAAGCGCACTTTTGATGCTTTTGAATTTCAAAAGTAATGCTGTTCTGAATATTGTGTACATGTTTGCCATATTTTCTGTCTGTTTATTAAAGGTATATTTCACCTAAAAGTAATGGCCCTGGACCTGCTCCATACCTTTTAGTTAGATAGATTTGTACAAAAACCTTATGCTCCCAAAGTTGGTTTTGTTCTAAAACTTTTGCACAGTATTGTATATATATGGTGAAGCAGTGGCGCAGTAGGTAGTGCTGTCGCTGGTTTGAGCCTCGGCTCAGTTGAAGTTTCTGTGTGGAGTTTGCATGTTCTCCCTGTGTTGGTGTGGGTTTCCTCCGGGTGATCCAGTTTCCCCCACAGTCCAAAGACATGTGTGTTATAGGCTAAATTGTTCGTAGTGTATGAGTGTGTGTGTGTGGATGTTTCCCAGAGATGGGCATCCGCTGCGTAAAAACTTGCTGGATAAGTTGGGGGTTCATTCCACTGTGGCGACCCCAGATTAATAAAGGGACTAAGCCGACAAGGAAATGAATGAATGAATGAATGTATATTTATTACTAAAACATTTTAAGATTTTAGTAATACGTTTGAAACACACACACACACCACACACACACACACACACACGCACACACACACACACACACACGCATGACTACATTTCTGTTTTATGTTGTTATTAATGGAAGATGAAGGTCTTTTAATGACATTATCTGTGCCTCTAGCAGGCTGTGATCTGTAAATAGAAACAACTGACCCAGCACCAGGGACAACCATACACAGACACTGAGGCCTACATAAACACGATAAGATCCAGGATCAGGAGGGGCTGAAATCTGAGCGTATCACAATATTGATCACAGCACAAGCTGAGTCTTTTGCCATACACACACGCACACGCAAACACAGGGACAGGAAGCCCTGGCTGCCCTCGCTTCTGCTTCCTTATTTTGAGTTCAATTAACCGTCCTGAAGTCACGTTTGACTGTGTGTGTGTGTGTGTGGGAAATCAGCGGAGGGGAAAAGATCAAGAACAAAAAGTTCACATTGCACCATCTGGACTAAAGTGTGCTTGAGTTTTATGGAAGTCCAAGATGTGGCTTTCTTCTGTGACTCAAGAATAGAACTGTGTGAAAATCATCGCTCCACATAAAAAGCGATCTCTCATTATCACTAAACCAGAGGGAATGAAGTCATACCCACAGCAGGCATTCCCAGACACGTCCCGGAACCTGACGTCTTGACTTCCATGCATCCCTATGCGAGCCTGAATCATGAATCATTCCCTTTGATATGACAGGACTATAATCATGATTTAATGCTGAGGAAATCACACACGCGCCTCCAGTCATTGGCACTGGTCATGATGCTGTGTTTTGTATAAACATTTGCTTTTTGTTTGAGCTTGTCTGCTGAGATGTTCTGCTTTTTTTGTTTGAGTAAAATATGGCTCTTTGAATTTTATGATATTAATATTCATGGCATGAATATTGGAGTGCATGGAGGTTTTAAAGGGGACCTGTCATGCAAAAATCACTTTTAAAAGGGGATTAAAGAAAGTTTGGTAACACTTTACAATAATTACACACTATAAATCATTTATTATGCATTAGCAAATAGTGAACTCATTATCTGTTAAGCATTAACTCTACATTAATAAGCGTTAGTAAGCAGTTTACAATGGTGTACAAATGCTCCATTCTTGACTTATAAGCAGCTATATAATGTGTTTAATGATTGTATTTTCATACTTAGTTAATGATTTATTTTTCATTACTAAATTAAGTATCACAATATTTACAAACCAGTTGTATTTAAGAGTAGATGAGGGTGTTTAGGATCATTCAGAATGAGTTAGTAAATGATTAATAAACTATTGAAATCAAGGTTTATATGTCTTATTATTCAGGCATATATTAATGGTTACTATACATGTTAATAAATGCTTTATTAACTCAACTTCATGCAGTTTTGTGACCTAATCTAAAGTGAGGAGTATTCATGCTTTATAAATGCCTTATAAATGACAAATAAAGGCTCAGTTAAACTCTAAACAGGAAGAATGAACATTATTCATTCCTATTCATTTAAAGATACACAAATGAAACTGTACTTCAAATGAAAATTAAATCTTTGCAAGCTTATCTAAAATAAAATCACTGTAGAGTTTAATTATTGCATCTTATTTTATTGTTTAATTATTATATTTTTGTTGTTTTATCCAGTTGGATGTCATATTTTGACACTCCTGTTATTTGGCAATGTTTAAACTTTACGGTAATTTTACTTTTTAGAAAGATTGCACAGATTATCGTTCATTTGATTCTGAGCCTTTATTTGTCATTTATAAGGGATTTATAATTCATAAATAGTCCTCACTTTAGATTAGGTCACAAAACTGCATGAAGTTGAGTTAATAAAGCATTTACTAACATATTAGTTAACTATTAGTATATGCCGGAATAATAAAATGTATAAATGTTGATTTCAATAGTTTATTAATCATTTACTAACTCATTCTGAATGATCCTAAAAACCCTCAACTACTTTTAAATACAAACGGTTTGTAAATAATTCAATACTTAATTTAGTAATGAAAAATAAATCATTAACTAAGTATGAAAATACAATCAATAAATACATTATATAGGTGATTATAAGTCAAGAATAGAGCATTTGTAGCTGCAGTTATAAACTGCTTACTAACGCTTATTAATGTAGAGTTAATGCTTAACAGATAATGAATTCACTATTTGCTAATGCTTAATAAATGATTTATAATGTGTAGTTATTGTAAAGTGTTACCGAAAGTTTTGTTGCAGAAGTGTGTAAATATAACCAGCTTCTAAATGTAAAAATGTATTAATTATATTTTTTATAATCACACTTGATTAAAACAGTCCGCAAAAGCACTTTGATTGACATTCTCCCTTATGTAAGTGTCATGAGAGGAGGAAAGCCCTGCTTATTAGTGACGATCTCTTCCTCATTAGCATAGGATGTTAGTCTTGTTTTGGAATCTGCCCCGATGCTGACGCATAGGCATTTTTAGCTCCGCCCTCTTTTGAAAAGACCACATCTCATTTGCATTTAAAGTGACAGTCACCAAAATGGCACAATTAGGATCAAAGCCTAAAAGGGGCCGTTTCAAGGAGTTATAAAACATTATTTGTGTTATATTTTGAGCTGAAACTTCACATACACCCTATAGGGACATCAAATACTTTTTCCATACATCAAAAAGCCAGAAAACCCTTTGTTCAAGTGAATCTTATCATTTGACTGTTCTCTGAGTTCGAACTGAAATTGGGAGGCAAGCCTTTAGTCATGCAGCCCCCTCGTCCTGAAATACTCAAAGTCGGGGAATATGCCGTTGGATATAGACAAGATTAATTAAATATCACGTTTAACAAATATTGTGAGATTAGATCCAGCGGTAGGTCCTTGATGAACTGTCCGACGTGCACAGCTCTCACCTGGGATTCTATGCTTAAAACACCTGCTGACTGCCTGGAGCTCAGACACGCTGCAGCGCATGTCAGAGTGTGTGTGTGTGTGTTTACGGGATGTGCGTTTTCAGAGGTTTAGTGTGGATAGAGAGCTGTTCAGAAACGCTAGGTGAAACGTGAATCATTTTTATTTCTAAAACACTGTTTTAAAACTAAAATGTATTAGTGTAAACGGGGCCTCAACCACTTTCCTGGAGTACCACCAAAACTGCATGTTTTGGATGTCTCCTTTGTCTGTCACACCCATTATATCTCTTTCAGTCTGAAAATCAATCAATCTGAATCAGGTGTGTTTGGTTAAGGAGACAATGGAAATTTGGTTCTCCAGGAACGTGGTTGAGAAACACTTCCATAGACGACCTTATTTGAGCCATGTTTTTTGACATTATCAGTTTTTCTACAGAGATAATATTAGTCCTGTTTGGAATCTGCCACTATGCTGACACATAGGAGTTTGTAGCTCCGCCTTCTTTTGAAAAGAAGGAGCACAATCTCATTTGAATTTAAAGCAACAGTCACAAAAACGGCACAATTTGAATCAAAGCCCAACTGGAGCCATTTCAAAGAGTTATAAAAAATAATTTGTGGGGTATTTTGAGCTGAAACTTCACATACACACTCAGGTGACATCAGAGACTTATTTTACATCTTGTATAAAGGGGCACAACAGGACCTCTTTAATTAATAAACCTGTAGTTCCTGTTTAATAGTTGTCCTGCTTCTGTGACTTTCAGTGCTTGATAATTGGAGGAGGCCCCTGCGGCTTGCGGACGGCCATCGAGTTAGCTTTCCTCGGAGCCAAAGTGGTGGTGATAGAGAAGAGAGACACGTTCTCCAGAAACAACGTCCTGCATCTCTGGCCCTACACCATTCATGACCTCAGGGCTTTGGGAGCCAAGAAGTTCTATGGAAAGTTCTGCGCTGGAGCGATTGACCATATCAGTGAGTTCTGAAGCAACTTCTCATTCCCTGTGTTAATTTTTATCATATTTTAAGCAAATGGTTATAACTTCCTTGTAGGGAAAGGAAGTAGAAGTCATTTTTCGTTCTCCCTTTTGTGTTTTGGAAGCTCTTTTGTATTTGCTGTACATGCGGATTATTTCTGAATTGTGGGTACATTTCAAGCATTGATCTTAAACTATAAATATATACAGGAAAAAATATTTTACAGTAAACTGAAGCCTGAATAAATAATGTGAAATGATGCTAAATTTTGAAAGAGCCATGCATTCCCCTTTCTCAGCGGGGTGTTTTCACACCTCTAGTTTGAAAAAAAGTCTGGAAAGTGGGTGAGTCCAGCTCTTTTTAGGTGGGAGTGTTGGGAGAGGGAAAGGGGGAAGGGTTTGCATTAAAATGGGAGTTTTCTGTTCGAGCACGTGCTGATTTTCACAGAGGCAAAACAATCACAGGCGCAGAGGAGAAAGACAGTGACTGTTTACATGGACATTAGTAATCAAATTACTTGCCTTATTGTTAATTTGTCGACTTTAACTGCAGTTTGGCTCTTTCACTTTCATTCAGGAATTTTTCATGCATGCTCCACGAGATATTGGATCTGAAGAACTGCTGGAAGAGTGTATTTTTAATGGAGTGTTTGAGACCGCTTGCTGTATGGCAGAAAGAATGATCAAAACCATGTCGGCCTAGAAAATAGCAACTTTTTATTTTAGTCTTAGCACCCAATGTAGCTACAGCAGAGCTTTAAATACGTAAGTGAGATGCTAATGGTCTAATCTGATTCAATATTCTATTCTAAGCTAAGCTAAAAGTGCTCCCACCAGACCAGAGATCGGCAGAATGGATTAAAAAATGGTAAAACTCAACTGTTTAACTCTAGGTGCATTGTAAAATTAGCCTAAACATGAAAAAAAAGTTAACGTATTATTGTTTTTCCATTGAATGTACTTAAATATTTTAAATACACATTTTAGATTTATAAATCAAGCAGATTCAGGTAAAATTTGTATAGTTTTTTCACTTACCTGTACAGAACTAGACATCCTTGATTCAACACTTTATTATGGTTATATCCTTTTAATTTTTTTGTTGCTAAACTTTAGTAAAATTTACTTAATTAAAGGCATTAAATATATTAAAGCATAAACAAATACACTATACTCCCTGTTACTCAAACACTTTTCTTTTTAATTTTTTTGACTAAAGGATCCTACACATCAGGACGCTTTTCGTTTGCGTTTATTGTCAGCGTTTTACGACACGTTTTACCGTATTCAAACCCAAGCGATTTTCACTGGCGTCAAGCAGAAGAGTATGCAAAATCACTCCTTGACGTTAGATGGCGCTACACAACTTTAAGCTTCTGACACCCGCTTATAACACAGAAAGAGGAGGAGAGGAAGTTCACACACTTGTTGTTAAAGTTACTGGCGACTCGAACAAGCATGGATGGTTCAAGCAGCAGCTCCAGCTCTAGCGATGAAGAAATGATTATTTTAAATGATTTTTCGACACATTTCTAATCATAATAGTTCTCAAACAATAACTCATTTCTAATAACTGATTTTTTACGCCCCTTTTCAAGATTTAAGATAAGTTTCTGTAAAGTTTCAGCCCAAAAAACCCATCAGATGATTTATTAAACCATGTTGGAATTTTCTGCTTTGAACTATATGTAGCTGTTTTTGTTGTCTGTGCCTTTAATGCTAGTTCTCCTCAAAAATACCACAGTAAGAACTTTCACAATGATTATTTTATGTATTTGTTTTGGAGTTAATTCAAGCCTATGTATCTGCTACGCAAAACATGAATAAGTTGGCAGAATAAGTTGGCAGTTCACTCTGCTGTGTCGACCTCAGATTAATAAAGGGACTAAGCCGAAAAGAAAATGAATGAATGAATGAATTTTTTTTATCAAATTTGATGATGAGTGATGATCACAGAGAGCTGAAGAGATTGTTTAATCCAGGTTGCGTTGCACACGTCCTGTTGTGGATATGTTTATACGTGTTACTATGGAGACATGTTAAGCGGCTGTCAATCAATTCGGTGGAAGGGGAAATCACACTCCTACGTTTGTGGTCGGGCTCACAATGAGAGGGATTTGGATCCTATTTTAACATCAGGTAATAAACAAAAGAGACTTATTGTCTTTATATTGTCTTTACCCCAATATGAATGTGGACACACCATACCTACACACAGTTCTGTCCGAACAGCTTACAAAAGATGATTTTCGTCATAGGTGCTCTTTAAAGGCTTAACTAGATTAATCAGGGTAGTTAGGGTAATTAGGCAAATTATTTAGGGGGGCTGATAATATTGACCTTAAAATGTTTTTTTTTTTTTTTTTTAATCAAATTGCTTTTAGTCTAGCCAAAATAAAACAAGTAAGACTTTTTCCAGAATAATAAAATATAGGAACTACTGTGAAAAAAATTGCTTGCGCTGTCAAACATTATTTGGGAAATATTTGAAAATTCACAGGAGGGCTAATAATTTTGACTTTAACTGTACATATATATGTTGGTTCCTCACGCAAAGCCATGCAATTAAATTTTGGGGTTTAGAATAAAGCACATGAATTATTTAAACCCTTATTTATCCTTATAAGGACTTGACAGTATCAGGCTACAATTACATTCATCTCAGGCTCCATTCATATTCAATAGCGATTGAATTTCCATTTTTGGGTGAACAATCCAAATGACAAAGAACTAAGTGTAAATGCAATCCATGCCACTCCAGTGATGATATTTCTGTTCTCACATGTGTTAGTTTTACTGGCTGGTGTTTTTCTAAGTGACGCAGTGCTAGCGTGACTGTGAGGCTAATGGTTCTCGCTCTGGTTTTGGCAGGCATTCGGCAGCTCCAGCTCATGCTCCTGAAAATCGCTCTGATTCTTGGTGTGGAGTTTCATGTTAATGTGGAGTTCGTCAAGCTGGCTGAGCCTCCAGAGGACCAGGAGAATGAAGGTGAGGCTGGCTGAAGGCCCCAGACCCACACCAAACATTCTCACGACATACAGAGGCTGTCGAAAATGTCAGCTCTTTAACCTTCTTATTGTTTGTTATTGCTGTTTTACACAATCTGTCATACAAATGTCACAAAAAAATCAAATAACACATATGAAAGTATGGGAATTATGCAGCCATCATGAAAGGTTGAATAAACAATGTTATATTTTATCTTCAATGTAGCTGGCCTGTCATGCCTGTCAGTTTAAAATGTAACAAAACACTTGAATATTAATTTTGTAACATTTTTGTTATATTAAATAGTAGTAGTTGTAATATTAATAATATTATTTTTATGTACTTACTTCAAGGGCCATTTATATTGAAGTTGACATTTATTGGTGTTTCGTGACATCTAGTTTTATGAGGAGAGTTGTGTTAGCCCAACGCTCAACCCCCAACCGGGAGGATCAGGGCATACACACATACACTATGGACAATTTAGCTTACCCAATTCACCTTTAGCACATGTCTTTGGACTGAGGGGGAAACCGAAACACTCAGAGGAAACTCTGGAAATAAGGTGAAGCACGATTGATATTTTGATTTAAATTAACTGATAATACAATTTATTTTATATTTTAGCTACTTTTTAATGTTGCTCTTTCACACATTCTGTCATACAAATGTCATACAAATTCTGTCAAATAAAAAAGTGTAGTAATAATAATATTAATATTCATGATTTCAATTTTTTTAAGTCACCAGCCATATTTCTCTGAATAAAGTGAAGTATGACTGATATTATAATTTGAATCAACTGATAAAAATTAAATTAAATTAAATTAAATTAAATTAAGTTAAGTTAAATTAAATTAAATTAAATTAAATTAAATTAAATTAAATTAAATTAAATTAAATTTATTTTATTTTATTTTATTTTATTTTATTTTTGGCTACTGTTTATCATTACTATTTCACACATTCTGTCACATAATATGATATAATATGAGAAATGACAAAAGATTGTTAAGATTTAATTCATGTCGATTTTAGGGTTATTGGCTTAATGCACTTACCTGACAAATTTCATTAATTCATTTTCCTTTGGCTTAGTCCCTGATTTATCACAGGTCGCCACAGTGGAATGAACCACCACTTACTTGACAGATTTATGTATTTTAATTTCAGGTGGTCTGTGTAATCTGTTTTATGTTTGGTAAAATAATTTGTAATTGTATATGTTTTCAACTAATTACACTGTCTTGTCCAATAGGTGGATTTAGAGGTTATTGCAAAAAAAAAAAAAGAAAAACTACCGTGTTAAAAACCAAAGAAATGTCTAAAGTGACATTTATGAAAAAAAGCTGTTTTATTTGCTAACTAATAACACTTTCATTATCTGTAAAATGAAACTCCTGAACCTAATCAGAGGAACCTGATAGAAAATGCTCATTTACAAGAAAAGAGGTTTGATGAATTTAGAAGGTTTTGCATCTGAACTCTTCATATATAGTTTATTATTTAATAAAAATGTAATTGTATTTTTCATCAACTGAATTCAAATGAATTGATTGTGGGCATTATCTCAACCACTGCCAGTTGCATAGCTTGACACAATTTTTCTCTCTGTAATATTCACATGCATGCTAGACTTGTTGGCTGCTAGTCCTTTATTATTCACTCCAACCGCCTATTAAATCTAAGAAACAACTCCAAACAGACAGATTTCAGACACTTAAGCATAAGGCATTTGATTTAAGACGTCCTTGCTGATTATAAGAAACATATAATGAGTCTTCACACTTTTAAATATAAACAAACACAGAGACAGCACGGTGGCTCAGTGGTTAACACTGTCACCTCACAGCAAGAAAGTCACTGGTTTGACTCCTGGCTGGGCTAGTTGACATTTCTGTGTGGAGTTTGCATGTTCTCCCCCTTGTTGGTGTGGGTTTCCTCTGGGTTCTCCAGTGTCCCCCACAGTCCAAAGACATGCGCTATAGGTGAATTGAATAAGCTAAATTACTGAATTTGAGAGTGTATGGGTGTTTCCCAGTACTGGGTTGCAGCTAGAAGGGCATCCGTTGCTTAAAACCTATTCAATTTTCCTTCAGCTTAGTCCCTTTTTTATTAGGGAATGCCACAGCGGAATGAACCGCCAACTATTTCAGCATATGTTTTACACACCAGATGTCCAGCCGCAACCCAGTACTGGGAAACATCCATACACACTCATTCACACACAAATAGTACGACCAATTTAGTTTATTCAATTCACCTATAGCGCATGTCTTTGGACTGTGGGGAAAACCGGAGCACCTGGAGAAAACCCACATCAGCACAAGGAGAACATGCAAACTCCACAAAGAAATGCCAACTGACCCAGCTGGGACATGCACCAGCGACTTTCTTGCTATGAGGCTACAGTGCTAACCACTGAGCCACTGTGTCACTCTTATAATGAAGCTTAGTATTGAAATGTTATTTTTACTCTTTTTGGCTAATCTGTTCGTCTGTCGTCCAGCATTTTCTTTGGCTCCCTCTCTCTCTAAGGTTTTCAGGGTCATTCTGTTATTTCAGAAAGACATGATGATGTATTCGCTATGATAGCCGTTTCCTTGACAACCAAACAACACCTGCAGAGCCGTTAATGCCTTTTTAATGCCTGCGGAAAAGTGTTCTGATCCACTTCTACTCTTCCCTCCTGTCATTTTATGACTACATAGCATGCATAGCGTCGGCTCGCTAGCACGCGGCTCCGCTATCTCATTTCACAAGCTTTCTAAAGATCAGAGAAACTGAGAAACAATTAGCTGATCGTGATAATTAGAAACAGATCTCATAGGTCCCAGCCGGCAGTGTGTTTCCATATGTGTCCGCTTTGGTCATCTACGAAAGAACAACATTGCGTAAGCTTCTCCAGACCATTAGCAATCTCTCGCTCTCTCTTCAACAGCAGTGACTGCAGGCTGATAAAAACACGAGAGCTTTCTAAATTCAGACTGTGTGATTGCAGCGACCTTGTAATGTGACCTTGAGGCGATACTTGTGGATCTGTGAAATCTTGGATTAATTTGTTTGAAGTCACGTAAACTTACATTAGAGGATTGGAGGTTAACTGACATTAGAGGTTGGTTTAATTATCGACTTGCTCTAACTATATGTTTTTATATTGCATAATGAGCTGGGCAAGATTGCATAATGCTTGAGTACCTCATGGTTCAAGCTAAATTCTCAAGTTTTAAGTTAATTTTTATTTTTTGGATAGCAAAATCCAGATGTTTGCAACTAAAATGTCGGATTTTGTTGATTTTTTTGCAGCATTTTTTTATTATTGTTTTTGCAGTGAAAATATGCACAAAACTTAATTTACAGTATGATTAATTTTTTTAACCTTGAGAATCATTGATCCCTGTAATATTCTTAAATTAAAAGAACAGAGTTTACCCCTAAAGCCTGCTATCTAATATTTGAAAATGAAAGCAATTTATTTGGCAATGAATGCTAAGTCGGCTGTGTTTTGATGGCTTCATGAACATGTTGATGGAAATGATGTGTGCGCACTATGAGTGGGAGAAAGAGAGAGTGAAGGCTACGCTTATGATGACAGACGCATAAACTATAAAGAATTTTAGCGTAAGAGAGAGGAAAGAGAAAGGAAACCAAAAACTTGAATGTTCATTTTGTAATATTTGTTTCAGATTAAATAGTAGAGGTAACAGCTGTTGTAGTAATAAAAATAATAATATTCATAATTTCTATTATATATAAAAAATAAAAAAATAAATAAACGTTACAAATCCTCAAGTCACCAGCCACATTTCTTTGCAAATACAGTGTTTAATTTAACTTTATTTTAGTTTAATGTAGTTTTGTTTTTGGTAGTGTTTTGTTTCATTTAATTTTGTTTTGTTTTAATTTAACTGTATTTTATTTTATTTTATTTATTATTCTATTCATTCATTTTTATTTAGTTTTAATTTATTTGACATATTTTTTTGTTTGTTTAATTTAATTTAATTTGAATTTAATTTTATTTTTGTTTTCTTTTGTATACATTTTCTTTGTTTTGTTTTTTTTTGTATAGTTTTGTTTTGGGGCTGAACGGTGGCGCAGGGGGTAGCACGTTCACCTCACAAGAAGGTCGCTGGTTCGAGCCCTGGCTGGGTTAGTTGGTATTTCTGTGTGGCATGTTCTCCCAGTGTTCGCGTGGGTTTCCTCCGGGTGCTCCGGTTTCTCCCACAAGTTCAAAAACATGTGGTACTGGTGAATTGAGTAAGCTAAATTGTCCGTGGTGTATGTGTGAGTATGGGTGTTTCCCAGTGATGGGTTGCAGCTGGGAGGGCATCCACTGTGTAAAACATTTGCTGGATAAGTTGGCTGTTCATTCCTGATTATTACAGGGACTTAGGCGAAAAGAAAATGAATGAATGAATGAATGAATGAATGAATGAATGAATGAATGAATGAATGAATGAATGAATGAATATGCAATTATGCACATGGCACTATGTGGTAAAGGGTGACTTTGAACTGTCTCTTGATTGGCCGAAATATGCAGGAAATCTGCGGCAACTGAAAAAAATTTCTCTAAAAAACAAACTCTTGCTTGTATATGCGTTAAATTCAGCGATCACAAAAATGTTAAATCCTGGAGGGCCTGACTTGTATTTGTTAGACAGTCTTGGATTATTTAGCTTGAAGTCAAGCTGTACACTTTTGACATTGGTTGGCTCAACTGTTGAGTGACTTGCTGTGACTACATGTTTTTGGAATGTGTAGCGCGCCGGGCAAGATTGCATAACGCTTACATGAATAACAGTACCTGGTCTTGTCGAAATATGTGGCTGTTAGAAAAACGTTTCCATTTAGACGAATATTTTCATTTAAAACAACCCAAGGTTCCCTTACAGCAAGAACAGACCCTCAAAAGTGATTCTGGGTGACATATTTCAATATTAATTTGTATTTATTGTGCTATTGCTCCACCCTGCTACTGTCCGCCAAATAAAGGAAAATAAAATATTGCTCCAATATTTCTCTTTAATAGTTTGGGATGCTTGAAAGGATTGTTTACACAAAAATGAGAATTCTGTCATCATTTACTGTAATGTATGTTCAAGATCTGATGACTTTCATTCTTGTGTTGAACATACAAGCAGATGTTTTAAATAAGTCGGTGACCGAACAGATTCAGTGCATACTGACTTATTTGTATAAGATTTGTTTGGAGGAAAAACAATGGAAGTAAATGGGAACCAAAACTGCTTGATTTCAAGCATTCTCCAGAATATCCTAGTGTGTGAGAGTGTTCCACAGAAAAATATATAATTTGGGTACTTCTAACTGAATGTAACGTATATCCAGATACTTACAGTTACTGCATTTAATTTCAAATAAAATGAAGATGTATAATTGTTTAAACTTGTTAAATAGTTAGTTGAACTTTTCTGACCCACTTAAGTTGGACTGAAATATATTTAAATGGATTTATATGCATACTGAAAAACTGGTAAATCTGACTTCATTTAGTTTGCAACGCCTAACGTCCAATAATACAATTTATTCCTAAAGGACAAAAGTAAAAAAAAAAAAAACGGCCTACTTTTTGGTCTTATTTTCATTTTAAAAACCGTTTCACTCAGATGTACGTCATAATAAGAAAAAAAAAACAACGATATCAACTTCTGTTTCATTTAATGAAAAACAAAAAAGCAATTCATACAAAAAATGAAATTTACCTCATTATTTACTAGGGCTAAAATGAGAATCACCATTTTCTTGCTTAAAGGGCACCTAGGTTACCGCTTTTTTCAGATTTAATATAAGTCTTTTGTGTCTCCAGAATGTGTCTAAAGTTTCAGCTCAAAACACCCATCAGATTTTTTATTATACCTTTTACAAGTTTCTCTTTTATACCTTTTAGCATCAGGTAGCTGTTTTGCTGTACTGCGCCTTTAAGGCTAGTCCTCTTCGCTCACCGTTTCTACATGCCTTTCTGCGTGCCTTAATCTCCTCCCTCGGCTGATTCAGACAACAGACAGACATAAAGGAAGCAGATCTCACGTAGCGTTTGTGAGAAATACTACAGTAGGAACTTTACCAATGAGTATTTAATGCATTTGTTGTGGAGTTGCAACAATGAGTCACCCACAACGTCATTACAAAGTTCAAGCCCACACACAGATACACACACACACACATACACAGCGCAGCGCAAATGTGACAGGATACAGGTTAATCTCCACTGCTGTATGGATATCTGTTATGTTAATGGACAAAATAAACCTGATTTAACCTCCACAAACCGGGATGGAAGTGTCTAATTTTATAATTGTCCTGACACGCGGCTATGGTGATAAAGTAAAGCTGAAGTAAATCGCTGTACTTCATTTCACACATGCTCTGTTTTAAAACATTTTAAACATGTGAAACTTACTCTTGATCACATTTGATGATGATTAATGATCCTAGCAAACTGAACAGACCTTTCATTCCCGGTTGCTTTGCACACGTCCTGTCTTGTTGATATGATTATACAGGTGACTACCGGGACATGTTAATACGTAGCTGTCAATCAATTCTGTTGGCGGGGGGACCGCACTCCTACATCAAGTTGAAGTCAGTCTGAAAACCACTCCATTTGATCCACTGTTTTTATGTTGTTAAATTAAAAAAAAAAAGTACTGGGTGTGTTTATATCACCCCAATATGGCGGTCTATACGCTATACCTACACACATGTCTGTCCAAACTGCTTGAAAAGTAGATTTTTCACCATGGGTGCCCTTTAAAATCAACATCCCGATTTTCTCATGATTCTGTAGCTGTAAAATAAAGGTTAATATGATTAGCGTATTATTGTTGTTATTTCTCAAACATATGGTAAAACAGCACTAATAATATTCGCCCTATGTGTACAGTAGTTCTACTGCTGGTTATAATGCTACATTTTGAATAGACTTAACATGACTTTAAATGCGTCCTGGTTGCTAATGCAAAGTAAAGTGGTGACATTAGAATTCAACTATTCATAATCTCAACAAAAAGTACTCCAGGGTGTCTCGAACCTTTATCATCAAGGGCCCTATCATACACCCGACGCAGTGTGGCGCAAGGCGTGGCGCAATAGTCTTTTGGTAGTTCCAGCTTGGCGCAAGAGTCGTTTTGAGGCGTTGCGCTACGCTATTTAAATAGCAAATGCATTAGCGCTCATTTGTGCGCCCATAGGTGTTCTGGTCTAAAAAGGAAGGCGTTCTGAGGCAGACCGCTGGCGCGTTGCTATTTTGAGAATCTATAATAGATTTTTCATTAGACCAAAACTAACCCGGTCTAAACTCCGGCGCAGAGTTGCGCCACGCTTACGCACTGCTTAATACGCACAAGAGAGCAATAGGCAAATATCTTTACATATGAAAAAAAATTAAATATTAAGGATATATATAGGATATAATAAGAATAGATATAGGATATAAATATAAAGGATTAAAATATTACAAAACATATTATTTTCTAGCCTACATAAATATGAAAAATCACTGCTTTTATGTCTTCTTCATCTCGGGAGGCTTTTTCAGTTCATTCATAACAATTTGCTTTTGTATAATGTTATTATTATTAGCAGTATTATTTATTATATCCATATTTATATTTGTTTTATTAAAAACAAGCTTAGATTTGCCCACCTGTAAGGTTTTAGACCATATGGGGCACAGCATGTGTTTTAGGATATAACTCAGGTTTTTGAGCACATTTTGTTAATATTGTTAATAAATTCGTTTGCTGGAAATTAAAACTGAATTTAGAAATAGTTTTGAAACGAATATTTGCGCTTAACAAACAAAAGTATTTATTTATAGACTAATTGATGTCTGTGCGTAAAGGTTTCCCTATCCAAGAGCGAAAGTGAAAGTGATCCATTATCTCTCATTCTCACGCAGTAGATGCTCTGTTTAACAGTTTTCTATTAAAAAACTGTTAACTGTTTGCTTGTGAAATGCTCATTTTTTCCACTTAGATTTACTTTGCATCCTGTAAATGGCGAATGCGCTCTTGGCGTGACGCAGCTTAAAGGTAATGGGAGATAAGATTCTAATTGGTTTATTCTCAAAACACACCTATAACTCATTAAGAAAATAAACTCAACCCTTTTAGAACATGCGCCGCGGTGCAAGGCAGATTTCCCGTCGTTAAATTAGCAAAAACGCGTCCTGACACGCCCTGAAAGCGTTTGCGCCCTGCGTTTTGCACTCTGTGCATGGACCGTCAAAATAGAGCCCCAAGTGTGCAATCAGTTTTTAGAATGACAGAAGATTGACAATGTCTTTGTGCATTAATAAAGCTATAAAATGAATTTGGGTAGCAGATCAGATAATTAAGTCTTTGGAGAATGCGATGAGGTAGTTTTTAGATTTTATACGGTATCTACGATTTTTCCAGATGTTGACATCTTGCCAAGTCTGAGCACAGACATTATTGAGTCTTTTCTGAAATATAGATTATAGGTCATTTTGATTTTAGTAGAAACATCTGAAAAACACGACATGCTCTTCTCACTTCATTTCTAAGTTCTGTTGATCTATCTCTATCATTTGTGATTAGTCATATGGACTGAATGCATGTGTTTGTTTGTGCAGGGCCGGGCTGGAGGGCAGACATTCGGCCTGCCGATCACCCTGTGGCCGACTTTGACTTTGATGTGGTGGTGGGAGCCGATGGAAGAAGAAATTCTTTAGAAGGTATGAACTGAGGATGATGCAATTTCTGCTCAGTCGCCATTTAAAACAAATTCTCATGTGAATAAAATTGGGAATCTGTATGGCGTACTGAATTACATGTTTTATGCACACTAAAATAAACACACATCTGCTGTTTGCACAGTAACTAAGAGGCTATAATAATCTTTGCTCTATGATTACAAACTCTTCTAGCGGTAACTAAAATTGTACCTGTCTTAAATATGATAGCATGCATATGAAAATAGCATGACATATAGACTTTCAAATAAAATAATGGATTCTTTTATACACTGTAATGACAGGTTTTCACAGTGATGAACATCACACATTCAGGGAAATAGTTCATATTTTAGTTTTTTTTTAAATGTAACGTAAAATTAAAACACAATGCTGGATTGTTGTCGTTGTAATCCAATGTTGGGTTAAGGCCGTACTCACACTAGGTACAGTTGCTTCGAACCGGGCCAAAGCATGCTTGTCCCACTCCCGTCTCCCCCGACGGCCCGCACTCACACAACAAACGGGCTTCGGCACTCTTACGTCATCGCTGCTGCGCTGTTCAGTGAGAAGCGCTCTCTCACTCAGCAGCAAAGTGGAGATTTCTCTAGTTATATCGTTTCAGTCGCTTGATATGCCGTCAAATATTTCGCCAAACAGTCCTTAGAGATGCGGTGACACGCAGTCAGATATTTCGCCGAACAGATTCACCACTTTTGGCGCTCATAAACAATCATAAAGTCCTCGTGCTGCAGGAATGAGGAGGTCTGCTGAAGCCGCGCAGCTGTCGTGCAGTGAGGGGTTTAATAAACTACGGCAGTTTGCGTTCAATGAACAGTAAGAATTATTCATAAATCCATATGAAACAGTGCCTTAAAAGTCACGTCTCGCTTTCAGTTTCGGCCCAAGCCCAAGTGAACCGGGCTCAGGCACACCTCTTCCAACCGGGCCAGGGCCGGCCAAGTGAACCGCGCTTGAGCCTGATTCAGCATACTCACACTTCTCAAACGATCCGGGAAACGGGCCTGGGCACGGTACGGATGGCATAGTGTGAGTAGGCCCTAAATATGAAAACAAACAAACAATGGGATGAGAAGTGTAATTAAAATGTAACTGAAAAAATTAACCCAACGTTGATTTGTCTATATTTGACCCAATGTTGGTTTTGTGGGAAAATAAATTTAAATGATTTATATATAACTGAAAAGTTGTTTTCAGAGTGTGACAGACCTTAAAATGTCTTGGTTTCCTGAGTCCTGACAGTCTCCAAAGTAATACAAATTATCAGTTTTACAGCACAGCTGTATTTATTGTCTTCTCTGTCTCCAGAGCATCATTTGCACAGTGTTTTAATACTAAAATGTACGGTGAAGGGGTACTTATATGCTGATGAGATCAGGCCTGGAAAGGCATGTTACCCTGCCGACAACAACACTTCATTTGCTTGCTTTGTTTGACTGTCCCCACCATGATCGTCCCCACCTACATGTATCAAATGTATTTAAACTGAGTGTCTGTTGTACCAATTGAGAGTTTCTTTCGATGACGCCACAGCCACGCTGAGTTCTTCTTATTAAAAGGATTCTGCTTTTAAGATACCGAAAGTTCCCTCTGGTTTTTTGGGCTCGTCTTAGAATTTCACAACAGTTTGGTGCTGTGAGCCAGACTAGAGAAATTCACAACAGTCTCTAACAAGCCTTTTTTAAGTGCATGCTTGTCAGCAAAATTACAAAACAACTGACTGATTTATGGTTATTTTAGCTTTTAACGTTTGAAAATATTAACCTACTAATCAATCCAAATCATTAGTTAGGGATTTTTCCAATATTTCATTCATTCATTCATTTTTCTTCAGCTTAGTCCCTTATTTATCAAGGGCCGCCACAGCGGAATGAACGCCAACTATTCCAGCACATGTTTTACCTAGCTGATGCCCTTCAAGTCGCAACCCATTACAGCCATTTCCAAAGCCATTTGCTTATCTAAAGCTAAAATACTTGGTTCCACACAAATCCTACATGTTGTCTTGACACAAATCAATTAAGTTAACTTAAAATAAGTCTTAAAATAATCTGCCAATGGGGTAAGCAGAATAATCTTACGTCAAAAGAAAAAACAAGATTATTTTGCTTACCCCATTGGCAGATTATTTAGCTTGTTTCAAAGAAAAAACTCACTTAATATTTGGCATATTATTTCTCAAAACAAGACAATATGTTATGCTTGTCTAGAAAATTCTTGTTGATATAAGAAATTTTAGATATTTAGACTAAAAACAAGACAAAAAATCTAAGCAAGAAAAGCATTTTTTGCAGTTCAGCTAGCACAGTTCGTTTGGCATATGTGAAACCACCAATTGCGCTCGGACCTCCGCCAAAACAATCGCTTTGAGATCGCTTGAATGAGGTGGTCTCGGCTCGATTGAAACGATCTCTGGAGCGGATCGATTGTAGTGAGAAAGCGATATGATCCAAGCCCGGTTATATCACAGTGTTTTATGGATACGTAATAGGCATACAGCTATATGAAGAGAGAATTATGAGAAGGGCGGTCATTCCAGACATCCCTAGTCTCCCGGAAGTTTCGGGAGTCTCCCGCAAATGCACAGAGACTCGATAATCTCCCATAAATCGCGCGTCTCCCTCCCGGTCCTCAAATACGTCGCGCACCCTTCTCACCACCCCCCCCACCCCCCCCCCCCCCAAACGCATTCCTCCTCCTTCTTTAGACACGTCATGCGCACCTTATTAAACACCACCAAACCACCACCGCCTGACAGCTAAGCGGGACTCTGAAAAATAATTCAATTCAGCTTTTTCAATTCAGCTTTATTTGTATAGCGCTTTTACAATGTAGATTGTGTCAAAGCAGCTTCACATAAATGGTCATAGTAACTAGAACAGTGTGGTTCAGGTTTTAGTGTTTAAGTTCAGTTCAGTTCAGTTTAGCTCAGTTCAGTGTGATTTAATCATTACTGAGAGTTCAAACACTGAAGAGCCAATTCATCGATGCGTAGCTCTACCAATCCTGAACCATGCGAGCCATTGGCGACAGCGGAGAGGGAAAAAAAACTTCACCTGATGGGAGTGAAGAAAAAAAACCTTGAGGGAACCAGACTCAGTTGGGCACGACCATTTTAATTTCTCCGCTGGCCAAAAGTCTTGTGCAGAGCTTCATTCGCCGTGGTTAAGGCTGGAAGATGGCCTCAGCGAAGACTCGTCTGTCCCTGGGACGTCGCTGGAATCAGACTCATGTTCTCCACTCCCCACGACCATCAGCGCAGCAGCAGCTCAGGATATGGCCTGGTCCCGGATATGGAATCCTTGGGATCATCACGTTGCTGGTCTTCGATCCAATCAGTGACTCCGCATAATCTGAGGACCTCGGGCTGAGTATCCCCAGGTGAAAATAGAGAATAAAGAGAATAATTAGCGTAGCTGCTGTTCGTAGTGTATATAAGCAAGATGCAGAAGCCTGTGTGGAGCCGGCTAGGTGATGCATTGAGTGTATGCTTTACTAAACAGATAGGTCTTTAATCTAGTTTTGAACTGAATAAACCATGAAACTCTGACCAATGTGAGGGGAGTTTACTCACACGTGACTTGTTTTAGCTATTTTGGTCTGTTTAAAAACTGCGAACCGCACCAAGAGCAAAGAGCAACAATGTAACAATTTTAATCGTTGTTTCAGAACAACTGAATCGATTCACAGGTGTGAAAGCACCCTTAGTCATTTTTACAAATCTAAGTAGATTGAACAAAAAACAATTAAGTTGTCCAAAACAAAACTGAAGAATTGTGTTGTTTCAACTTATTTTAAATAAGTAGTTTGAACAAGCAGCAGTAGTAATTTTTTGAGTGTAGCTAAATCTGATGCCATCTTTTAACACCACTAACAAAACTTTTGCAGACATAACCAAAAATGTCTCTTTGTTATGGTCTTCATATCATTAAAACAACCCCAGCTATCCCGTATTAAATTTGGCCCGTGCTCTTGGCTGAAATCCCAGGAATGAATTGTTTCATCCAAGGAGGTTATTAAGCCATAAAATCAAGCTCTGCTGTGTAAAGTGATACTGTATGATGTCACCAGCCGCCCACCATTACATATGAGGTCAGCGCGTGCTCTTGAGGGGCTCTCAACACTTTTCAGCTGTGATGTGTGTTGTTGGACTCGGTTTTCTTAGGTTCGTCATCTTTGCATGTATCCCTAATCAGATGCTTTTTTCCCAAAAAAGGCCATTTGTGCAAACTATGGGATGTTAGCTCATCGCCCAATTATGAGTAACTTCAGGGAGAAAAAAAGAAAGAAACCAAGCTTGTTTTGGACATTAAGCGAGTTAGCTCAAGGACGTCTAGGGAAAGTTAAATTTATCCCAATCTGAGGCAGGGCAAGCAGAATTTGGAATGAGTACCGCAGATGACGAAGACTGAAGCTGATGTCTTAGTGAGTTAACAACACGGCGGTAATGGAGCAGTTCTGGATTCCAATCAAATGTGTGTGCATGTGTGTTTTTTGGAGGAGTTCTGTGGACTTTCATAAGTTATTTTGGAAAATGACAAAGTAGAGTCAATTCCCAATTCAGCGCACTCAACGCCCATGAAACTGAACAGAATGTGCTATTTTTCGTTGAAATTTGCCAGGAAAGGATGGTCTTATTTGCAATCACTTTAAGTGAATTTCACCACTATATGTTCCTTCTGTTTTCATAACTCAACCTCAAATTCAGTGCACCTATAATGAAAATCACCTTTTGGAAGCTGTTTGGACAGAACTGTGTGTAGGTATAGTGTGTCCACAGTCATATTGGTTTGATAGAAACACAATAAGTCTCTTTTAAAATTTCCTGATGTTAAAATAGGATCCAAATCCCTCCCATTTTGAGGCCTCCTGCAAGGTGACGTAGGAGTGCAGTTTTCCTGCTCACCCAATTGATTGACAGCAGAATTTTAACATGTCTCCGTAATGACGCATATAATCGTATCAACAAGACAGGACGTGCGCAAAGGACACAGGATTAAAAGATCTGTTCAGCTCTCTGTGATCATTTGCACCTCAAGAATGAGTCTTACAAGTTTAAAACATGTTTAAAACAGTATATGCACAGCAGTGAAAATTTACGTGTATCCTGTCACATTTGCCATGCAAAAACAGTGCATAGTGACATATAGTGCATATCTGATTTCTGGAATTGCTCTTGCCTGGACTCGAACCCGGTCTTCGTCGTGGTCAACTCCTCTTTGCGTTTTAAGTCCATCAACGAGCTTACTGGACAAACTGGTTGCAGCGGGAAAACCCTCCACACGGAGGTAAGCGGTCAGCCGGTAAGCGCAAAAGGAACAGTGTCGTACTCTCCCGTAGCGTTCGTTAAAAAAATTAAATGCAGCCATACGTACCTCCGGCTACTTAGTTTGCGGCCTCCAGAAACGTCCACTGGACTACGTTTTCAGAATGAACGTGGGTTGCTTTAAAGTGTTGGTTGTATGAGTTGCTTTTGAACACAAAAAAAGATATTTTAAAGAAAACCCATTGCTGGAACCCATCAACTTTTGTTTTTCAGAATATCGTCTTTTATGTTCAAAAGAAGAAGCTTAAACAGGTTTTGAACAAGTGAAGGGTTAGTAAATGATGACAGAATTTAAATTTTTGGTGAACTACTGCATCCTTTTAATCAAAGCTCTTCCAATTCAGTCAGTTCATTTCCAAAAAAAACAAAAACAAAACTAAAACCCGTTTTGTTGATTCATAACCAGTATACACAGCCCGTTCAAGAATGAAGTCATAAACGTTAATGTTTTGTTGGACCACATTTAGCTTTGACACAACATTACTCTCATCCAGGCTTGCAATAATTTTGGGAGGGTCCCACTTTATATTAAGTGGTCTTAACTAACATGTACTTACACAGGAATTAATAGTTTGTTACAATGTACTTTTTGTGTAAATACATGTAATTACTGTGTACTTATGCTTGATTAAATGCATGTATGTAATTAGATCTGTAATTAACTTTTGTTAATTCTGTAAGCTGCTACAGGCGTCATGGTGGCTCAGTAGTTAGCACTGTCGCCTGACAGCAAGAAAGTCACTGGTTTGAGTCCCGACCGGGCCAGTTATGATTTCTCTGTGGAGTTTGCATGTTCTCGCCATGTTAGCGTGAGTTTCCTCCGGGTGCTCCGATTTCCCCCACAGTCCAAAGACATGCAGTATAGGTGAATTGAATGGACTAAATTGGTCGTAGTGTATGTGTGGGAATGTGGAAGGGTATGGGTGTTTCCCAGTAATGGGTTGCAGCTGAAAGGGCATTCACTGCTTGAAACATGCTGTAATATTTGGTGGTTTGTTTCACTGTGCGGACCCCTGATGAATAATGGAGTAAGCTGAAGGAAATTGAATAAATGAATGAACCATGTGCTACAAAGTCTTCTCCAGCACATCCTCTAGATTCTCAATAAGGTTAAGGTCTGGATTCTGTGGTAGCCAATTCATGATTAAAAATTATGTCTCAGTCTCCCTGGATTCTTTCACAATTTGAGTCCGATAAATCACTGGCATTATCATGTTGGATTATGCCCAAGTCATCAAGGAAGACTAACCTGATGGAATTAATGCAATAACCAGGTCATTCAGTATGTTGATCATTCAAGTTTTATCTAACCACATTTCATCCTCATCCTTTCCTACTATCTTTCCATTTTTATTGTGTTTTACACAATTTTAATTGCTAATTTCCAGTGCATTTGTAAAGTTTACAGTATTACTGGCAACTAAAATGACCAGTAATACTGTCAGTTTTACAGCAATTCTTTACATCACAGACATCAGTAGATCATACAGACTCGAGTGACCTACTTTAAGTCTTTTTTTTCTTCTTGTCCTTGCCCTTACTCTCTTTCTCAGGGTTTAGGAGGAAGGAGTTTCGTGGGAAACTGGCTATCGCCATTACGGCAAACTTTACCAACAGAAACACCACAGCTGAGGCAAAGGTGGAGGAGATAAGCGGAGTCGCGTTCATCTTTAACCAAAAATTCTTTCAGGATCTTAGACAGGAAACCGGTGAGCAAAGTACACCACATTGGCCAACATTGGCCACCAAAAAGTTAATTAGTCTGAACTAACCATGGTAAAGGAATATCCCCTAACCATCTGAGCGATGTACTTTCACCTCTTTCTGTGTCAGTGTTATCTGCTTTTATGATTTCAGTTATCATCCTCTTGCTCTGATTTGTCATGTAAATGTTTATCCTCCAGGCGATTACGGGCTTCCTCCCTTCTAACACATACATATGCTTTTGTATACCTGTTGTAACTCGTAGCCCTTTGAAATGGAATTCCTTTAAAATCCTGTCTTAAACTCACACTGACCTCAAGAGACTTATTTTGTCTTATTAAAGGTATTAAGATTTTATAGATGAGAATCTCTGTTGCGGATTCATGTAGGATATGAGTGCTTATATTAAAAATAAAATGAAAATTGTGAAATTAATATGATTTTCAAATTGCACAGATTGAGATTTAATTAGGGATTGTTAGTGGTAACGATTCCAGAGTTGAACATCATTTACACATTTGGTTCATGAGGCATAGTTGATGTTATCGTGAAGTCAAAATAAAAGATTGATGGTTTCCCATTTAAAAATTCATTAAACAAAATGTAAATATTACTGTTTTCATTTTAAAATAAAATATTTTATCTTATTTTGAAGAACAGTACTATTATTATTATTACAATCTGATAATTTACACTTTTTAAAATTATATATTCAATTAAATTAAATAAACTGCTTTATTATATCTCAATAAAGTTATTGTTTTGTACATGATAAAACATTGTGTTACAGAATAATACTGCTTAAAAAATTATAATAATAATATTATTATTATTAAGAATAATCAGTATAGAATATTTTCAACATCATTGAATACTCAATATTTAATAATAATAACAATAATAATAATAATAATAATAATAATAATAATAGTATAATAATAATAATAATAATAATAGTAATAATAATTATAATTATAATTATAATTATAATAATAACAGTAAAAGTAATAACAACAGTAACAACAATGATAACAACAATAATAATATTAATAATAATAATAATAATAATAATAATAATAATAATAATAATATTGATGATAACAATAATAATGATATTAAAAATAATAATAAAACTTAAATGTGTTTAAAATTATATATTTAATTAAATTAAATTAATTTATTATACCACAATAAATTGTATAATATTGTATTATACCACAAAAATAAAGCTATTATTTTCTTATTATTTTGCTTGTGTATAAAATAGATAAAACGATACAATAGAATACTACTACCACTATTTATAAAAAATAATAGTAACAATAATAATATTAATAACAACAGTAAAAACTAATAACAATAATAATAAAAGTGGTGCAGTGGGTAGTGATGTCGCCTCACAGCAAGAAGGTCACTGGTTCGAGCCTCAGCTAGGTCATTTAGCATTTCCGTGTGGAGTTTGCATGTTCTCCCAGTGTTCGTGTGGGTTTCCTCTGGGTGCTCCGGTTTCCCCCACAAGTCAAAAGACATGCGCTATTGGTGAATTGGCTAAATGTTCGGTAGTGTATGAGTGTGAATGAGTGTGTATGGATGTTTCCCATTGATGGGTTGTAGCTGGAAGGGCATCCGCTGCATGAAACATGTGCTGAATAAGTTGGCGGTTCATTCCACTGTGGCGACCCCAGATAAATAAAGGGACTAAGCCTAAAAGAAATGGAAAGAATAATAATAATAATAATAACGATAACAATAACAATAATAACAATAATAATAATAATGATAATAATAATAATAATAGCAGTAATAATAATAATAATAGTAATAAAATTAAAAATAAAAATATTAATAAAACACTTCACTTTACAGCTTGATTAAATGTATTTAAAATTATATAAATAATTAAATTTAATTTATTTATTATACCACAATAAAATAAAAAGCTATTATTTTGTTATTATTTTACTTGTATATGAAATGAATAAAACAATGTACAATAGAATACTACCACTACTATTAATAAAAAATAAGAGTAATAATAATAATAATAATAATAATAATTAAGATGAAGATGAAAAAACTCTCTTTACAGTTTGATTTGGTTTTTGTAAAAAAAAATATATAATAAAAAAACAAGAATAATTCAATGTAATGAACACCCAGATTATTCACGTTTTTTACCAAATCAGTTAGCTCTAATAGGTTTTACATTTAATGTCTACAAAAGAAAGATTTTCTCCAGCTTTTTTTACATTCATACAGATAAAAATCTAGAATCATTTATTTTTTCATAAAAAATAAGGCTCTTCTGCAAAAACAAATTTGGTGAAAGTCACATTGCAATATGTAGTATCACAACATCTTTTTTCGTTTTTAGTTTTCTACATCCCTAATATAAGAGCATGATTTTGTCTCTTTTGCAGGGATTGATCTAGAGAACATTGTTTACTACAAAGACAACACACATTACTTTGTCATGACTGCTAAGAAGCAAAGTCTGCTGGACAAGGGTGTCATCATTCATGTGAGTTTTTTCCTTTTTCTTAGATTTCTGCACGGCAAACTGATCAGACACCTTAAAAACACAACAGCGAGTCCAGAGGCTTATAAGCAGCCTCAGGGAACACATATTCATCACAAACACTCTCCGGTATTCTTAGTTCTTTGACGCACTTTAGTGTTGGCACAGTCTGTGTTGTTCTGATTCAGACAGTGAGTCAAGAGTGCTAGAACTGAGTGTGAAGAATTGGATGACAGTCCTCACTTAAATCCTTATTTGAATAGTGGCCAGCATTTGGAAAGCACATCATATTTTTCACCAAGCATTTTTATAGGCTGTTATTTGACTTAATGTTTGGTCTGGGTATTTTTCTGTTAAAGTTTTAAGATTTCCTTTCCTTTAAATAAAAATTAAGTAAATGAAAAAAGTAATGTAAATTATAATAATGTAAATAATTTATACAATTCATATATGTATAATTTAAAAATGTTATATTTATTATATAATTTATTTTATTTTAAATATATACAATATATTATTATTAAATAATTTACTACATCAAACAAATATATATATAATATATAATAAATATATAATATATTAAATAGAATGAAGTTGCATTATTATTTAAAAGTTGTTGCATTAAAAAAATTAAGTAGCATTATTTATTTTTAATTTATTGCAATAAAAGCAGAAGAAAAGTAGCATATGATAACAAGACAGCGAATTCATTCTGCTCATGGTTGAATAATAACAATGATAAATGTTGATGTAATTAAATTCTACTATTTTTAAAAAAGGTTTTACGGCTCTGTAGCGTTATCACATTTCATTGTTCATTTTACAATCTGAAGTTGCAATCTTAAAATGCAATGTCAAAAAACGAAATTATCTATTTAGAATCGTTAACCCTGACATACAGTCATAAATTACTTTTTAAAAGGTATAACATTTCATTTACCAGTACATTAAACATTAACCCTACACTAAAAATATTTAATTTGGCTATTTTGATAACTTATTGATATCAGAGGATTAGCTATCAAGTTTTGAAGATAGTTTATTCATCCTAAAAACCACAAAACACAGTGTAATAACTACAGCTAAAACATCTGTAAAAACTAAAAAATTTAATGATAATTGCATAAATTAGTTTGTATATATTAGTAAAACATTACACATTTGTACATTTTTATATACAGTGCTCAGCATATATGAGTACAACCCACCAAAAATCTTACATTTTAATTAATATTTTCTATAGGAAGCTTTACAATACTGTATTTGTGCATATACATCAGTTTAGTCAGTACTGAAGCAAAATCTGGAGCTTATCTAACAAAATAACTTATTAGTAGGCCAAATTTATATGTTAGGGCAGGGGTCATACTGAATGACCTGGTTATTGCATTAATTCCATCAGGTTAGTCTTCCTTGATGACTTGGGCATAATCCAACATGATAATGCCAGTGAAGGTTAGTATATATTTTTGTTTTAATATGATTTCTATAGGAGGACAAACATTTTTAACGTTTTCAAATGCTGTAAAAGTGTGTAGAGTTAATATTTAATTTCAACATTTCTGTCAACGAAGATTTGCGTCATAGCCTGCGACACAGGTTTCTATCAGCAGGGCGGGATGCCAGGCAGGTGGCTGTTGTAAACAAACCGGGAGATAATAAAGCATGGAAAGCCGTTCACAAATGGTGACCAACCACTTGATTTCAGTGGCTGTTTAATCATGAATGCTCATTATGTATTTGTAGCCAACTTAGTCATTTTTATAGTAGGCTAATATAGCTACTATATATACACATACAGCATGTGTTTCCTTCATTATAAGGCTTATATAAGGCTTTACATTTTTTGCGGCTCCAAACATATTTGTTTTTTGTTTTTTTTTTGGTCCAATATGGCTCTTTCAACATTTTGGGTTGCCGACCCCTGTGTTAGGGAAAAATATTTTTTAAAAGGGTTCAAAAATAGCTAAAGTCAAGAGAAACAAAAAATATATAACCTTTTGTTGAAAAAAAATGTTGTTTGTAATTTTTAAATAAATGTGTAAATCTAAATGTATTATCTTTCCATTTCTACAGATGTTCTGTAACTAAAATATTATTTTTATAAATAGCTCTGTTTAATAAATCTGTTTTGTTTAAACGCACCAATATATATTATCCATATTCACTGAGAAATGGATAAAAGTATTCATTTTCAAAATGGGCTGTACTAAATTATGCTGAGCACTGTATATTGAGTTTTTTTTTGGACACATTTCAGTGTATCAAATCTCTAGAATATTCTGTTTCACTCAAAATATTTCACAAGTAAAATGCATAACATGACTGTATAGCTGTCACTGATCCAGCTGTGACGGCTTACATACCTTTAGCAGACATTTCGATTGTTGTGTTAACAGATGTTTTGTTTGTGTTGTCTAGGATTATATCGACACTGAGGCACTTCTGAACAGTGAGAATGTAAACCAAGAGGCTTTGCTAGTGTATGCACGTGAGGCAGCCGACTACGCCACACACTACCAGCTGCCCACCCTAGATTACGCCATGAACCACTGCGCGCAGCCGGACGTGGCCATGTTCGACTTCACCAGCATGTACGCATCCGAAAACGCCGCTCTGGTCAGGGAGAGGTTTGGTCATAGTGTGCTGGTGGCTCTAGTGGGAGACAGTCTTCTTGAGGTGATTCAGTCATTACCATCATTCTTCTGTACTTATGTATACAGTATGTAAAAACAAAAAATAGGTCACACTTTATTTTGATAGTCCGTTTGTTGAATTTAAGTTACATTGCATCTTCATGCCAACTAATTCTCAGTAGATTAAAGGTAGGACTTCTAGGTTGGGGTTAGGGTTAGTGTAAGTTGACATGTACTTGCAAAGTTTCTTGTAGTCAGTTAAATGTCTGTTGAAGGAGCAAAACAACAAATATTAAGCAGACAGTCTAATACTCAAATGGACCATCAAAATATAGTGTTACCAAAAAATAATAGGCAAATGTGTGCCCTGGCTTGTAGTCTTTGTATACCTACAAGCAGTATGGCTTGTTGCCTTTTGTGTGTTAAACAAATAGAGTGGTATGACGCCCTTTTGCACAATACCTCTGACCACTGTATTAATGACTATTCTGGCAGGGTCAGTTTGCTCAGTGGCTTGTCTGGTATAGATATGATTCAAGAAACCAGGTAAAACAAAATCAAAAAAAGCAGTTTGAGGTAAAATTAGGCAACAGCAATGATGATAAGAAGCTGATATATTTTGAATTAAAAACAAAAAACTACCAGAAGAAATAGCCCCCGGAACGAATTTTGAGGTTCCCAAAAATGTAGCCCAGGGCACATATTCCCAATGAACCTCGGTTGCATTTTTCACTAAAAACATAGTTCTAAAGGTCCTGTTGACTTGAAATTTTAACCAGATGGCAATACCAACTAAACCAATCAATACACAACAAAGACAATAAAACATGAAGAAATTGTATAAATGGTGTATAAATGCATTGAAAGCCCAGAAATCTCTCAGTAGTTTTCAGCAACCCTGACTCTCTTCAGTGTAAATGAATATTAGCTGCTTCAGTCGAACATCTACATAACCAGATAATGAAAATTAAACCAGGATGGACATTTCAGCAACACAATGATCCCAAACACAGCCAGGGAATCTCTCAACTGGTTTCAGGAAAAGAAAATAAAGCTGCTAGAATGGCCCAGCCAATCACCTGACCTGAATCCAATTCAGTTCAGTTAATCTTTATTTCTATAGAGCTTTTTACAATGTCAATTGAAGCAGCTTAACATGATGAAATTTTAAAATATTAAAACTGCGTCAGTTCAGCTTTACCATTTGAAGTTCAGTTTACTTCAGTTCAGTGTAATGTAGGTTGTTTTCACAGCTGCTTTATTTAGTTCGGTTGAATCGTACTAGAGTTCGTCTTCTCTCTTGTTGCGGTTCGTTTGGGCAGGTGTGAATGTAGCAATCGCACTCGAGTGCACCCCAAAAGGGGACCAAAAAAGGGTACAAAGACCTCCTTGAAGAGGTGGTCTCGGTATGCTTTCAAACAAACCCTGGAGTGGTATTACACAGCGAATTATTCAGAGTTTTGTTTTGTTTTGTTTTATTTGTGTTTGAATTGTTTGGGTATTTACCAAAAGTCTGGGTCAATGTCAGCAGCTGCTTTAAGAATAATTTTACCAGGAAAAATCATGACATGTTCTATACTTATTTTACTCACTGTATACTGTATTTATGATTGTTGACATGATGACTGATGACATGTTTTGTGGGTGTCTCTTTCACTGTAGCCCTTCTGGCCAATGGGGACAGGCTGTGCCCGAGGCTTCCTTGCAGCTTTTGACACGGCTTGGATGGTGAAAAGTTGGGCGCAGGGCAGAAATCCACTGGAGGTGCTGGCAGAGAGGTCAGTAATGGCCAAAATCTCATTGGCAAACTATAAATGCACATGTTTTGTCTTTATTTCCATATTGCTTTTACAGTGTAGATTGTGTCAAAGCACATTAACATAGAAGTTCTAGTAAATTGAAACTGCGTCAGTCCAGTTTTCAGAGTTGAAGTTCAGTTTAGTTCAGTTCAGTTTGGTTTAATTTTCATTGCTGAAATTCCAAACACTGAAGAGCAAATCCATCAATGCGCAGCTCCATAAGTCCCAAACCAAGCAAGCCAGTGGCGACAGTGGCGAGGAACAAACTTAGATGCTGTTTAACTGTTTTGTCTCTAGTGAAGCTCTCAGTTTTTCCACTTACAAAGTCCATCATGTAAATAGCAAATGCGCTAAGGTGTGACACAACTGACTCTTAAAGGGAATGGGAGATGAGACTTTGGATTTTTCTCAAAACACACCTAAAACTTATTAAGACTAAAACCCAGTTAGACCATGTGCCACGCCGCAAAATTATTTTTCCGTCCTTAAAATAGCAAAAATGAATTCTGACATGCCCTTAATGCTTTTGCGCCCTGCACTTTGGACTTTGAGCCTGGATCGTCAAAATAGAAATGTTCATATTTTGGAGACAAAATGTCCCTTAATACACACACAAACATTATTTTTAGAGATAACTTGATATTAGTAATTTCATTAATGTTTCATGACTACTTTAATTCTTTAGGATGACTTAATGTGTAGTTGTTTTGTTGTTCTTTTCTAGGGAGAGTCTGTACCGATTGCTACCTCAGACAACACCAGAAAACATTGCCAAAAACTTTGATTTGTACACCATAGACCCTGGAACTCGATATCCAAACCTGAATTCAAACTGTGTGCGGCCACACCAGGTGAGATAGCATTCATTCCTTCTATATTCATTCATTTTGGAGTTTAGGAGGGCTTTGAATATGGCTCATTCATTCATTCATTCATTCATTCATTCATTCATTCATTCATTCATTCATTCAATTAATTTTTATTTATTTATTTTATTTATTTATATATTTATTTATTTATTTATTGTTTATTGTTCATTTGTTTATTTATTTATTGTTGTATTTATATAACTTTTTTATTTATAATTTTTTCTATTTTGATTTGATTAACCATGTATTGTTTTGTTCATTTGTGCATTTATTTATTTGTCAGTTCATTATTTATTATATTCATTCATTTATTCATTCATTCATTCATTCTTTCATATTTTATCATATTTTTGGGGTTTAACAAGGCTTTGAGTATGGCTCATCATTCATTTATTTTGTTCATTTATTCATTTGTTTATTTATTTTTATTATTTTTGTGGTTTAATTGGGCTTTGATTTGATTAAGCGTTCGTTTGTTCGTTCTCTCATTTATTTATTATTATTATTTTTAGGGTTTAATTGGGCTTTGATTTGATTAATCGTTCCTTCGTTCGTTCGTTTGTTTGTTTGTTCATTTATTTATTATTATTATTTTTAGGGTTTAATTGGGCTTTTTATTGATTAATTGTTCGTTTGTTCGTTTAGTCATTTATTTATTTGGCTAATTGCTAGTTCATTTATTTGTTTGATCATTTATATTTTTATGTATATATTTATTATTTTTTTATTAATTATTTTTTTATTTATCTCTTCATTTGTTGTTCATTCTATTGTTTGCTGGTTTATTCATTCATTCATTCATTCATTCATTCTTATTTAATTATTTATTTTGTGGGTTTAACAAGGCATTGAATATGGCACGATTTCATCTTATATACATTTACTTTCATTGAATCACCCATTGCTGTATATCCTTCTCTTTTGCAGGTCCGCAACAATTATATCTGTGGCGAGATGAAGCTGTGCTCTCTGGAACGAGCCTCCACCATCCGACGTCCTGTCAACTTGGCTAGGAGAGGTTAGACAAACCTTCTAATCAGTCGAACACTGAATCTATAATTATCCTCAGCTCTTTTACTCTGAGTGGACCATCCAGTTCCTCAAGAGTTTCCATCACGCTAGGACGTACGGCTGAGATTTGCATATGATAATCACAGGCTAGGAGAAAAACGGCACGTAACTCTGATGAGTGTTTACAGCATTCCTGCCTCCAGAAGATAACAGGCAGCTCCTGTTTTTAGGAACGTTCTCAACACACTCCTCCTAACATGTGGCAGGTTCAGGGGAGAGGCAGGATTTATTTCTGCTGAGGGAAGTCCAGCCAGGCTGAGATTTGTTATTGCCTGCAGAGCCAAAGTGAGAAAACTGCTACCTAAATCTGGAGTTAGAAACGCTCCAGACATGGTGCACAAAGCAATAACTCATCCAGAGAATGATTTGTGGTGTTTCAAACCTGTGTGACTTCATTAGTTCCATGAATCCTAAACAAAGGCATTTTGGGGAATGTTTATGCTGTTCATTTATATTTAATAAAAGGTCTTTTATTACTTCACTATAAAACGATCATCAGCATCTTAAAATCCTTAAATACTTGGGATTATTTAAAACATGTGAACATTTATATGTATTTAAATACAGTATGTATTATATCTTCTTTGCATCAATTTCCAAAAAAACAAATGACAACTTATGTACGGTGTTTCTAATGCATAGTCTATGGGGCAGAACAGTAAATTTGACGTTGCTCTCTAACTGTAACACTGTAACACACTGAGTCCAAATGCAGTTTATTGAGTCAGGCAGGCAATGGTCAAAGCAGGAGCAAACAGAAGCATGAGGGTAATCCAAAAACATATTCGGGTTAACAGGCAAAATGGTTGATACAGGCGGCAAAACAACATAAACAAGGGTCAAAAGCACGGCAAGACTAGACAAGGGAGCGCTTAGAAATATTACAGCAAACAAGACTCAGTCCTGTGTGTGTGCAAGTGTGGTCTATGAATAGCCCAGGATATCAATCCACGATGAGCTTCCAGCTGTGTGTTCGTAATCAAGGGGCGATCTGAAACTGGTGTGTGAGTGAGGTGACTAATGGGAAATGTAGTTTAGTTCGGTGGCAGAATTGTAGTTTGGGTGATAGTGAGTGTTTTTAGTCAGCTGGGGATTGTGACAATAACGCCATTGTAGAGATTTTCTTTTATTATTTCAGCAAATTTGATTGAACAAAAAATGATTTGTTGTACTCTCCCATTCACTACGCTCACACTTTACGCAACTATGATGATTTCAGCTACTGAGAAACTTGGAAATGTGAAAAGGGTTCATTAAGAAGATGCTACAAACTGCTAGAAAATCTGACATTTTATTATTATTATTTTTTACACTTTTTTAAATTGTATTTAAACAGCAACATTAAATGTCAGAATACAGATATGAATAAAATATGATGACAAGCATCTAAAAAAAAAACAATGTGATGGGTATGCTATAAAAAAAGTTATGTTGTTCCTTTTTATTCATGAAAAAAAACAGCATGAACATTTATTAAAGTACCTTCTTTTATGTTCAGTGGAACAAATAAGGTCTTTCATGACATAAAAGCCATAATGTGATCAAAAAGTGAGCTGCTGAACCATAAAAGGTGCAGTCAATTTTTACATGTATACAATTTAATACTGTTTTCCATTTTTAAATTTTTTAAATCCTTAAAAAAATTATTAAGTGCTTAGCTTAGTACTTTTGTGCTCACTTATTAATAATAATTCAAATTATAATCATTAGTGTAAACAAATTTTAAATATTATGAAATATTCATGAGCAAAAAAGACATCTTTCAAAAATGCAGAAGTGTTTTAAATATTCCAAACTTTTGATCAGTACTGTACATAAATAAGAAATAAAGTGCTGTAAATGCACTTTTCTGTAGAACTTCTTCTTTTCTTCTTCCTTTTTGAGCAAACAACAAGAAGTATGAACAGAAATAGCATACTTCTATACGCTCTGGTCACACTGATGTTTCCTAAATCAGTCTCAATCAAGCCTGTCTATTCTTGCTGATCTATTGTGCTTGTTGACACATGGCTATACTGCAGCTGTCAGGGTGACACACTCCACGGAAACAATCAGAAACAGTATTATGTAAGAGGAGGATTATGCTGCTCTGAGATTGATGAGGCAGGTTCAGACACCTGATGAAGAGGAGACGTCACCTTGACTTTCATTCCACTTCAAGGCTTGTGTCATTAAAGAGATAGTTTATCCAAAATTACATCATCATTTACTCTCCCACATGTGGTTTTAAACCTTTGTGAGTTTCTGATAGATAGAAGATATAATATAATATATATATATAGATTAATATATATATATCATTTTTTTACTCTAGATTAATCTCGATCAATTTTGGAATTAATCTAGATTAAACTGGCTCATTTGAATTCTGCCGAAGGCATTCAGAATATGTGTGCTACCTAAATATTAAGTCTTTGAGAACGGTTTTCTCAAGCCAGGTGGCGCATTAGACCAGTGGTTCTCAAAGTGGGGGACGGGACCCCCCGAGGGGTCGCGGAGCAATGAAGGGGGGTCGCCTGGTGATTTCCAAAAATCTATTTATTTTTATTAAACCATAAGAATTAACATATTTTATCCATAACTATACTGAAAATAAAAATAGTCGTTTATAGTTACTATATACTATATAGTTACTATAGTAGCTTATAGTTACTAGTTCTATTGGATTGCGACCCCTGGGGTAATTACATTATATTAAAGGCAGCAATAGCGTCAGATGCATTTTGATTTTATAACATCAGGTTATACTTTCTGGCACATTTAAAGCACTGACACAAATTTAATTGGTGTGTCTGCGTCATTGCATGCAAGGTCTCTGTATTTATTACCACCTCAGAGGATATTGGGGGTCGCGAGTCACTGGCATTGTTATTTTGGGGGTTGCGGGCTAAAAAGTTTGGGAACCCCTGCATTAGACCACGGCTCATCTCCTGTTTCCAAAATCTCAAACTGCTTGAGAAACTATATTACTAAGATAATTGGTGATGAAAATAAATGTTCAATAAGATGTACTTTTGTTTACTAACTGTGTATTCAGTTAAACATTTTTTAACTGTCAACCTACATAAACTTGAAACAGCGATTTTTGATTACCTCAATCCGACTGAAATTATAACTGAACTAAACAGAAATGGAATTAAGACGCGTGGAGTATGCAGATATTAGTGGCATATAGTAAACACGCGATCAGTAAATACCATTATGTAGGACTTTGCCATAGTTTCCGATAAGATCCACACATGCGGCTGTCAGTAAAGGGCCGCACACACACAAACACACACACACACACACATTGTGAAACGCTAAAGTTTTTTTTCTTTCCATTTGGCGTGCGTTATTAAATTCCATAACACTCTCACCAGTCCTTACTCCTTTTTTTATGTCTAATACCCCAGTTTGTCACTTGAATGCATGAATGAAATTTTGTTGAGTTAAAGTGAAACTGGCGAACTGCAGTTAAAGTCAGGCTTCCTGCTGATTTGATTATCATTATTGATTATTTAAATATCAAGGTGGAATTTTTTTATCGTACGATAATAGTCTCACATTATTGCAGCTCTTTAACACCGATAACGGTGTTAATATATATATATATATATATATATATATATATATATATATATATATATATATATATATATATATATATATATACACTGTATATTGCAACCAGCATTTCTCAAAATATCTTCTTTTGTGAAAAGAAAAACGAAAAAAAGGTGACTAAACGATGAGGTAATTTTAATTTTTTCCTGAACATTCTTTTAATGTTTCATATGTTTAATAGAAATGTGGTAAATAAATTAACTAATAGTGATCAATACTTTGACATTTGGTTGGTTACTCTATTTGCAAAAAAAAAAAAAATAATTGTATTACAAGTTTAAAACAATCAAATAAAGTGATACTTTTAAAGTGAAAATTTTGTAAGTTTCTAAAAGTAATTTTTGCAATTTTAGCAGCAGATCTGAGCATTGAATGGCATCTGGTTCAAAATTATTTTTATTATTATTATCATCTTTCTTTGACAGATTAGACTGAAAGGTTTTTACTGAGGACATTCTAAGTATCTCTTTTCATCACTTCAAAATTCCGAAAATGCTGCAAACACCTAGAAAATCTTTTTTTTTTTTGTCAAGTAAAAAAAAATATAATCAGCCAAACTGATTATACTTCAGAAAAGAGAGATGAATAAATCTCTAAAGTCTGTTGTATGTACTGCAGGTGCTGCTGAAGTGCAGAATCAAGATTCAAGTGTCCTTGTTACACGTTCAATGTACTTAGTATAGTAATTACAATGAATTGTGTATAAGTACATGCAACTAAGCCTAAACTTAGCCCACATTCTAACCATAATCATATAATAAGTACATGTAGCTCATTAATATTGCTCAGCAAAACTAGTATTTGTATTGTCATTTAAATCTGAACATGCGAATTGTAAAGTGCCATGAAAGGAACTCCTAAAAGTTTATTTTAAATGTTTTTTTCCAGAACTTTTTTTGAGATGAAATAAGACGTTCTTCTATTTTGTGCGTTGAGCAGAGTCTGAGATCAGACCGGGTCGGTTGCTGACGTGGTGTCAGAAGCAGACTGAGGGCTACAGGGATGTGAATGTGACTGACCTTACTTCCTGCTGGAGCAATGGCCTGGCTCTCTGTGCGCTCATCCACCGCTTCAGACCGCAGCTCATGTGAGGCTCTTTACTTCTTTGCATCTTTTGTTCACATCATCCAAAAATGCACATACTAATTCTATGATATCATTAAAACATGATGTTAGCTTGTTATCATGTCCAGAAATAGATTGATAATAGATAAATTGGGGTATTAGTGTAGTGCCACTCTGAATAAACATAATATTGGTATTATCATGGCACCAATTGTAAAAAAAAAAATAAAAATAAAATATATATATATATATATACATATATATATATATATATATATATATATATATATATATTCAGTTGAAGTCAGAATTATTAGCCCCCTTTTGATTTTATTTTATTTTTAACAGAGCAAGGAATGAAATTTTCACTGTATGTCTGATAATATTTTTTCTTCTGGAGAAAGTCTTATTTGTTTTATTTTGGCTAGAATAAAAGCAGTTATTAATTTAAAAAAAACATTTTTGGGAAAAAATTATTAGCCCCTTTAAGCTAAGTTTTTTTCTATAATCTACAGAACAAACCATTGTTATACAATAACTTGCCTAATTACCCTAACCTAGTTAAGCCTTTAAATGTCACTTTAAGCTGTATAGAAGTGTCTTGAAAAATATCTAGTAAAATATTATTTACTGTCATCATGGCAAAGATAAATTAAATCCATTATTAGAAATAAGTTTTTAAAACTATTATGCTTAGAAATGTGCTGAAACAATCTTCCCTCCATATATATATGTGTGTGTGTGTGTGTGTGTGTGTGTGTGTGTGTACTGTATTACTCTGGTACTATGTATAAAAAAGTAATGAATGTGGTGTTATGTTAGTACTATTTTCAAATATAAAATCCCAATGCATATTTTGAAAATGCCAATAGAAAATGCATAGTGTAAATATGACCCTGGACCACAAAATGAGTGTTTTTTTTTGGAAATCTAAAAGTGGAATGACAAATAACATCCAGTCAACTCTCCTGTTAGCTTTATCCTTCGCACACCGAGTTACTGTGCAACTCCAAACATGAGCAGGACATGTTAAAAGCACTTTGACCCTGTGAGAAATGGCAGCCTTTTCCTTTAGAGAACAGATATCCCTGCCACACGATCCTTATTCATCAAAAGAGAGTGACTTTTAAAACTTCTGCATTCCTGGCGGCGTGAGAGAGAGAGTTTGAAGAGCGTAACCACTTGTAACATTTCACACGCTTTATCAAGGGCCGTTTCTCAAGTCTGTCATCTGAGATTGTCAAAAGTAGCTTAAAGAAAACAGAGCGGTTTCATAAGCACTGATTGTCCTTTCTTAGCACAAACGTCAAGAGGGCAGCTGGTTTAATTCAGGCCCTATATGCCCTCTGTTCTTATCGCTCGTTTTTCTGCAGTGATTACGACTCTCTGAATGAGCAAGACTGTGCCAGAAACCTTCAGCTGGCATTTGATGTGGCCGAGAAGGAGTTTGGCATTAAGCCGTTCATCACAGGGAAAGAGCTGGCCTCGGGTCAGGAGCCGGACAAATCCAGCATGAGCATCTACCTCTCCAAATTCTACGAGCTCTTCCGTGGAACACCTCTACCTCCTTCAGGTACATAATAAACTTGGCTATTATACAGGTTAGCATACTCAGCAAACTACTACCAATGTCTATGTAGATTTCAAGTAAACTACTGGTTGGTTTGGGGTTGGTAACATTTTTTGAAATGTCTCTTGTGCTTATCAAAGCTGCATTATGCTCAATCAGTCTGTGTGGGTCCTAATGCCCCAGTATAGTGAAGGCAACACCATACTGTCAGTGAGCGCTGTCTTTCGGATGAGCCGTTAAATCGAGTTCCTGACTCTCTGTGGTCATTAACAGTCCCATGGCATTTCTCGTAGAGAGTAGGGGTGTAGCCAGGGTGCAAATTACAGGGGGGTTTGGGGGGGGGGGGTCAGACCCCCTAATTAACGCTTGATCCCCTGAAGGACATCAAAACAACATGTATTGGGGGAGGGGGGAGGATGGTCTGCCCTTTAATAGATAAGAAATACTTTACTCTGATCTGTATCTTAAATAATATTAATCATTAAAATTATAGATAACTTAAATATACATTTGACCACCCCTATAATGGTTCATACCATTGTGAATGAATGTTTGTGCCAAAAGAGTAAGGGCTCTATTTTGACGATCCAGGCGCAAAGTGCAAAGCAAAGAAAAAATCTGCTTTGTGGTGCATGGTCTAACAGGGTTGAGCTTATTCTCTTAATGAGTTATAGGTGTGATTTGAAAATAAATAGATCAGAGTAGAGATCTGCGCGGGACCAAATTTTGAATCCCGCTCCCGCCCGCACCCGCCAGGTTTTAGCCCCAACCCGACCGCTCCCGCTTATATTAAGAATTTATTGTCCCGCTGCCCGACTCGCCCCGTTTTCTGGCCGCCGCGCCCGATCCCGCTAAAGAGCGGGGGAGAACAAAACCAGAAATCCCCCAGCTATACAGTCCAGACAGCCAAGCTGTCTGTATAAACACACACAGCACCAAGCACACACAGACAGACCAATCTCTCTCTCTCATACGCGCGCGCGCACCAACACACACACAAGTACCAAGCAGACACACAGGCGTTTGCTGTTATATCAACTCAAAGGCTTGTAATACCATGTATCAAGTACCAATGTAATACCAAAAGGTTTTATATAAAGGTATATAAATGCTGAGTCGCGCCAGCTCCGGGCCGCAGCACACATTACTCTCAGGCCGATTCCGCATCTGGCCCGATTGATTCGGGCCGGAATCGGGCAGTGAGTCCACAAGCATCCGGAGTCTGGCAGCCGGAGCCGGGCTGAGTGGTAAGTCTCCGGCAGGCGAGAATCTAGCCGGAAATGGCCCGAGTGTATTTTGCTATCTGGCAGCAGATCTTAGCATGACACACACACAAGCACACACACAGGCAAAGCTCGCTCTCGCTCTCTCTCTCTCTCTCTCTCTCTCATTCGCATAGCAATATCCGCGATATTGCTAGACAGCCCGCTCCCATCCCAAATTAAACCCGTTACCGACCGCTCCCGCGATTTATTCGCAAATTTATCTGGTCGGGTCCTGCGGCGCCCGCGGGACAGCCGTGGGAATGCAGACCTCTAGATCAGAGTCTCATCTCCTATTGCCTTTAAGAGTCAGTTGCGTCGCGCCATAGCGCATATGCTATTTACATGGCGAACTTTGTAAGTGGAAAAACCGAACCCTTCACTAGAGAGAAAACAGTTAAACAGAGCATTCAGAGCACGAGAATAAGAGATAAGCCTCCTCATTTTTTACTTTTACTTTCACTCTCGTGGATAGGGAAATGTGTTGTACCCACAGACATCCATTAGCATTACATAATTAATTTAGTTTGTTAAGTGCAAAGATTTGTTTCAAAACTATTTCTAAATGAAGTTCTAATTTCCAGCAAACTAATAAATGAACAGCAAAAACAAAGTGTGGTCAAAAAAAGTTATTTAAATACACTTGCTATGCCCCATATGGTCTAAAACCTGACAGGTGGACAAATCTAAGCTTGTTTTTAAATAAAACAAAAATAAATATGCATATAATAAATAATGCTGCTAATAATGATTACACTATACAAAAGCAAATTGTCATAAATAATATATATATATATATATATATATATATATAAACATAAATATAAAAACCACTGCCTTCATGCCTTCTTCATCTCGGGGGGCTTTTTTAGTTGCCATTTCTGTGTGGAGTTCTGAGTGTGTTCACGTGGGTTTTCTCCGGGTGCTCCGGTTTCCACCACAGTCCAAAGACATGTGCTCTAGGTGAATTGGATGAACTAAATTGGCCATAGTGTGTGAATGTGGGAGTGTCTGAGTGTTTCCCAGTACTGGGTTGCGGCCGGAAGGGCATGTGCTGCGTAAAACATATGCTGGAATCACTGGTGGTTCATTCCTCTGTGGTGACCTCTATAATAGAGACTAATCAAAAGGAAAATGCAGTGTATACTATCAGTACACATCATGCTTGCATTACAATTTAAACACAGTCATAGTGATTCACTGAAGAAATAGACTTTGCTGTCATAAAAATATATATCTCAAGACACTAAAGATATATTACATTCTGTTACCTTTACCCCACCCCTGGGGCTTTAAAAACAGACCACAACCTTTTGTTTGGCACTGTCCAACACATAGTATCAGCTATAAGCGAGTCTTCCACCTAGTTTGAGTTTGCATAAGGTGTGTGTCTATTAAGGTAAGAGACGCATTTTTATCTGGCCTTTCATGCTTGAACAGTTTGTGTTACACAATTCCTACAGTCCCACAGTCATGCCAGGAATGCATGTCTGTCTGAAACCAGGTTACCGCCCTTCAGATCTGCACATCGGCGCAGTGCAGGAGGCTATAAATATGTCACATTATATGCTGTTTGGCTTCAGAGATGTTAAACGTCATGCCTGTGTGATCTGATGCCAGCCAAACTACACACATTCACTTTTGTCTTCCAGGAAACTTAAACTGCATGCTCTCCTGTGCTAAAGAGATATACATTTGGTTACAGTGCTTGTTTTTAGTCGTTGTTTACTGTCAAATGTCATGCAAATCTTTGTGGTGTGGTTTTTTTCTTTTGTAGATTCAAAGCGAGATGACGATGCAAATAATGAAAAATGTCCATCAGGCTCTCCCAAATCTGTTTACAAATCACTGAGTTTACAGCCCCGTAAACGCATACCAAAGGTAATTTATTACATTAAATCCCAATGTTTTGTTTGAAGAAATTTATCTACTTTTAAAGATTCACAAACTGAAAAGATTTAGCAATGATAAACCAGGAATTGTCTTACTTTGGGGTAATGGAAATGACTGTATTGCTTACAATTGGGAATCCAGTAAAGCTAACTTGGACACATGGATGTCTTAGCCAATCAAATGGAAGCTTTTAGTCTCCTTCTCTGTGTACAGCTATAGAGGCAGCATTAGCATTGGCATGCTTTTAACTTGGTCATGTGAAGCATTTTTTAGCTAATCAAAAATAGCGGCTTTTAGTCCCCTTCCATCCATACAGCCATAGAGGCAGCGTTAGCATTAGCATTATGTTTTTAACTTGATTACGTGAAGCATTTCTTAGCCAATCTTTTTAGTCTCCTTCCCTGCATACAGCCATAAAGTCAGCGTTAGCATTATGGTTTTAACATGGTCATATGAAGCCTTTCTTAGTCTATTAAAATGGAGGATTTTACTCTCCTTCCCTCTGTACAGCTATAGAGGCAGCTTTAGCATTAGCATTATGCTTTTAACTTGGTCATGTGAAGCATGTCTTAGCCAATCAAAATAGAAGTTATTAGTCTCCTTCCCTGTGTACACCTATAGAGGCAGTGTTAACATTAGCATTAGGCTTTTAACTTGATCATGTGAAGCCTTTTTTAACCAATCAAAATGGAGTCTTTTAGTCTCCTTTCCTATGTACAGCTATAGAGACAGCGTTTGCATTAGCATGCTTTTAACTTGGTCACGTGAAGCATGTCTTAGCCAATCAAATGGAGGCTTTTAGTCTCCTTCCCTGTGTACAGTCATAGAGGCAGCATTTAGAATTAGCTTTATGCTTTTAACTTGGTCACGTGAAGCATATCTTAGCCAGTCAAATAGAGGCTGTTATGATTTAGGCTAATGATTTCAGTCTTGCATTCAATAGGCTTTAAATAAACTGTTCTCAAGTGTGCTGTGAAGTCATATTGGCAGAAAAAGTACTTTTAAATTAATTCTAGAAAAAAAAATGAAGGCTTGGAAGGTTACTTTTAAAATTGATTTCACTACACATTACAAAATGTTATTTAAAAGATAAATTAGCAATGTATGTCTATAGATCACTCAGGTTTAGTGACTTAATCTAACAATTTTAGACTGCTTTGAAACCCTTAAGCTGTGTAATACAAATGAATGGGATTCTTTATGATTCATTTCAAGCTTCTAAACAAATGCAAACAAACCAAACATATCATAAAAGTATACAAATTGACTGGAGCAGTTCTCCAAGTTATGCAATAGATTTGTTTAATGAATGGACCAAACTTTAAGAGATTACTTCACTAATAATCATCTCTGTGGATAAGCAAACGCCACAAGAATTCCTGAGTCAAAATTGACTACCAAAGTGACTCAATGCAAATTAAATAGTTCAATTCAATTTAAGAAGATGACTAATTGTGCTTTAGGGAAGCACAATTCAGATCTATTCAATCATTCACAACGCTTTCATTAAACAAACGCATTAAGCAATTTAAGACTGATTCAAAAGAATCATCTGTTCGAATCGGATCATAATCATTAAATCACATTAGAATAGAATCATTTGCCTTATTGGGTAAAATCCCCATGCTTGCTTAAATATTAAATGAATAAATGACATTAGTAACGCAAGTAATCACTTTGGTAAGCTAAAATACTTTTTTCAGATGGAACTGCATTTTGATTACCACTAAATAAATATAAAAATATAATTGTGATGAACTACAGTTAATTATATTTTGTACTAAATACGCCGTTATGTATTTCATTACAGCCTAGCCCTGAGCAAACAAATACAGTAAAATATAAATGTTACTTACATATTCAGAAAACCGTTTGTAGGTTGACTTAGAGAAAATTTTTGAAAATAAAAATGAGTTCATGGACAAAAGAGAATATAATTTATAATTATAAATAAAAGTCATGTTAATTTATACTCCTGTACTTCTCAGAATGATAAAAAGGTTGAAGACACTGATGCCATATCTAAGAGAAGGCGGAAATTAAATTACTTGGAAGAGGTCAGTATTACAGCACTGTAATATTTATATCAGTGGAAGCACGTGAAACTAAAACTGATTTCAGATTGATCTGCTTCACTTCCAGACAACCAAATCCTACAATCAGAGCTCTTCTGTATCCAGCGAGGGGAGGGAACTCAAGGAAAACAAGGTCAAGTTCATGGCCACTCAACTTCTAGCCAAATTCGAAGACAGTACAGCAAGCTGCTCTCTTCGCAGACAGGTAAAATCTGCTTTGTCTGAACTTACAACATCAGCAGAAGATTTACATTGCGTTTTCTTAAAGTAATCATTGAACTGACAATGACAATTCTGTCATTGTTTATTCTCTTTTATTATGTTCCAGACTTAACTTTAAGGTTTCTTACATGAAACACAATAGAAGTTGTTTTGTGGAATATTCTTGCTGCTTATTTCTGTATAATGACAATTAACACTGAAACTACTCAAATATTGCAACTACTAGAATTACCATAGCTACCATATCATTTTCTCACATAAGGTATATCCTAAACATATATCGTATAAGGTATATCCAGCCTGATCTCACGAGAAAACGTAAGTATTTTACGTTTTGCCAGTTTAGTGGCTAATTCGTACGAATTCGTATGAGTTCAGTCGTACGAAATGGTACGATTTTAAAAAGGAGGCGTGGCACCTGACCCCACCCCTAACCCCAACCGTCATTGGGGGATAAGCAGATCGTACGAATTCATACGAATTAGCCACTAAATGAAAAAGTTACGAATTGACGTGAGATTGTGTTGGGTATATCTTAATTATATATCTTCTATTGAGATATCAAAATCAAGCTTTGAATGTCTGTCGTCATTGTTTAATGAGGTCACCCCCTGTGAAGGTTCGTACCTTCGTTTCACTTTCAAAAGCAGAGGAGAAGGCTTTTTCGCAGCACTAATTCGTTGCTGTTTTGAAAGACATATCTGAAGTAAAGTTATGTTTTTTCTATCAGAAAGTGAAGTTTCTCTTGGCAGGAAGTTGCTAGGCAGCAGAGGCATGCATATTCAAAGTCACTGGGAAAAGTAGCAGACACTGAAGAGACTGCATGCGGTCAAATGATAATTAAAGGTAGAAATATACTCATAAGAATCACTTTCTGGCCATCTGATATTAGACATGGATGTATTAGTTTAATATGGCGTTGGGACCCGCAAGCTGTCACATGACATCACCTAAACAAGTGGATATGTCACACATTTAAATACGTTTTTTGGCAACTAGTTTGGATTTTTGTCTCTATATGAACTTTTCAGCTATTCGTCTTTTGATAAAATGCAGTTGTCATTCCATTTAATTACAGCTTGTACAGATTTTAGCTATTACTCCAGTTTTACTCTCACTTGATCCTTAAATATAATAATTCTGATATGATAATTTGTTACCTCATACACATTTTTTATTAGAATGAATACAAATTATTATTATTTATTAAATTATTATTTATTAAAATTTTATTTAACCAAGTCACATGAAGTGTTTTCAAGTGATCACATACCATTTTACAGAATATTTATAATTTAAAATTGCTGTTATTGGAAACTAAATTCATCTGCAGAGCACATGGCAAAGCTTTATCTTTTTTTTTTTTTTTTTGGTTTTGCAATAAAAAACCTTTGTGTAGTGGATTTCTGCTGGTGCCTCTGTTTGACATCAAGGTACAGGTCTGTATGAGTTCAGAGATATGGATTTCAAATATGGTAAAAATGGCAAATTTTGTGGGTAAACTGTACTTTTAAATAATGACCTCAAACGTTGGCTCTGGAGAATCACTTTACTGGGGCTGATCTGAGTACTTCTGTGTCTATTTAATCTCTTCTTTCTCTTTTCTTCCTTCTGACACTGGCTTCCTCTCTCTGAAACTGCTCCTGGTATAATGATCTCAGTCTGACTGTAATGGTGAGAGGCCTCCTAGACCTCCATCGCTTGATATGACTGATAGTTCCTTCTTTAATATTATCAAGAAGAAGGTTCCTCCGCCGCCACCTCCTAAAAAACAGGTAGAATCTACAAAGGCAATTCACGCAAACAAACACCTCTTAACAAAACAATCAGCTATTATCTGGTATTACTATAGCTGTGACATAAACTAGTAACCTAAACTGTTTTATAATAATAATTAAGATTTTAAAAAAATGTCCTCTAACTACATATATTCATTTTTCGTCTATTTGAATGTAGTTTAAAATGACAAAGCTGAATTATTAGCAGTGGCTTCTCCAGTTTTTATTGTCGAATGATCCTTCAGAATTCAATCTGGTTTTGTAATTTGATTTGATTTTGATGTTTAAATATTTATTATTATTATCAATAAGAGCATGTTTAAACTCTGGGTAAAGTGAAATATATGTTCTGTTAATAACCACTCGGGCAAAATTAAATGATATAAGGGGCAAGAAACTCAAATAAGTTATCAGAACTTTGAAAAATAGGCAGGACTCTCTGCTCCCAAATGCTGGTGGCGTGTCCACTGGCTGCACTCAAAGCACACACACTTGCAGGAAAGAGTATGGCTGCATACGAAATCGCCTACTACTCGAGTAGATACTACATTTGAATTTGAATTTACTTCACGGCCGTTAGAAAAGTACACTCTATACAGTATGAATGTTAGTAGTATGATTGGAACTTGGACCTAACACATCTGCCATTAGTCAGTATCATGTGACCTACCTGAGTCAGTTGTGTCGCTTCACTCACATTCATGAATTTTTTTTAAGTGGCATCATAGGATAGCGTAGAATCTCACAGAAGTAGTAGGACATCCGGGTATTTCTCGCATACTGATTTTCGAATACTATGAATTCGGAAATATTACTCAGCTAATACTGTTTTTAACAACCCAAGCTCATTCTGGAAATATAGCTCCGCGGACGTTTCTGAAGACCGCGATATACGTGGCCTTGGGTATGTATGGACGCGCTTTGTTTTTTTTATCGAGCGAACGCTGCGGGGCGGTGTGAAGCTGTTCCGCTCCTCCTCTGGCTGGCGGCTGACGGCTCGCGTCCATGTGGAGGGCTTTCCCACCTCAACCAGTTTGTCCGCTTAGCTCGCAGTATTATGTCGGCGGAGCGGAGGCTCGGAGGGAGGACGAGCCGGCCACGGCGACGACCGGGATCGAGTCCGGGGAAGAGCGGTTCCAGAAATCAGGTAAGATGCAAAACAGAATCCCCAAAAAATATAGTGTTTGAGTTCGCAACGGGGCGAGATCCAAAAACGCGGTCAAAATCGGACGAGGGCTTTTGCTTTTTTTTCTGGACGGCTTTTGCAAATCGTCGCATGGGTTTAGGGAAGGAGGAGGAGGAGGTCGATCGTTCAGTTGTTCAGCCAGTCAGTCGGACGAACGGCCGCTCTACAGCGGCCTCCGGCGGCTTTTCATGCGAAAACAGCGCGGGCGCGAATGGCGTGCGCTCCAGAGAGGCGTCTGAGACACGAAAAAGCACGCACAGCAGCCTCTCGCGGGTTCGCGAAAACAAAAACTGCTCGAATACATACCTCCCAGGACGTATTTCGCGGTTTCCAGAAACGTCCACGGGGCTACATTTCCACAATGAGCCCGGGTTGGTTTTTAGCGTACTATATAGCATGGAAATATGTGGTTCCAAATGCAGCCTATATCTCTTTACTCCCTTCAGGAACAGGAAGTCAACATGACGTAATATTGACATTTTACCCCAACATCGGATATCATTGTCCAGTGTCCTACATAAAGTCAACCTAAAATCAACCAAATATCCAAGTCTAATCATCTAATCATGTTACACCTTACACGTTACCACTATGACATTTATCAGATGTTGGATTTTGGTCACTTTCCAACAAAACCTAAAATCAACCAAATATTAACGTAATTAGAAGTCATTATTGGACGTCAAAATAACGTTGTCCTTAGACGATGGCTAGACATTGAATTTTGGTCACCTGACGTCATTGACCTAAATCTAACCTAATATTAAAGTCTTATGACGTTGTCTGCCTGCTGGGCTGTTAAGCACCACTACAACCTGAATTAATGCTTCTGATGCTACCTAATGTTAGCTTAATGTTAGTAACGTTAGCTTAATTGGCTTTATACAGCCTTACATGTTTGAGCATGCTCAAATCGACAAAAATGTGTGTCAGCGTTGCAATGAGTTAAAACCTGCTCATCTTCCAAGCAAGTGTGGTTCATGGTTAGCAATGGCAGATGACACGAGAGCACAAGCTCTGGTGCACTTTGCAAAAAAGAGAAAATGACACAGCTCATGAGTTTTTAGATGCCATTTTTTAAAAAGCTTATTGTTTTTAAATTGTATGTATTCTGATAGCTAGCAAAATATAGACTGTAGTAGGTAGCAAGACTGTAGACTAAGTTTTGAGTTTGGTATAAACCAGCACTGTAATTTAAAAAAACATCAATTTCTCGCTATTGCACATGTTTGAACAGCGATGATTGGCCGTTATGTTCACATAGGCCTGGGCGATATTGCAAAAAAAAAAAAAAAACATCACAATATTATGTTTCATATCATTCGAAATCGATAATTATTTTAAAATATATATTTAAATACATTTAGGAATTTTGTTATTTTTATTATTAAAAAAAAAAAGATTTATTTTTGGCCTTTATTAGATAGGACAGTAGTCAGACAGGAAGTAAAGTGGGAGAAAGAGAAGGGGGGGTAGGGTCAGAAAATGTCCTCGAGCTGGGATTCGAACTCGGGACGCCCTGAAGTGCTACAGCACCATATGTCAGTGAGCTAACCACTAGGCAACATTACTAAGGTAAATGGTTTTATTAGTCAAAAACTAAAATATTTAAACTAAATATATGATCTCTTTGTAATAAAATAAACACAAGTGTTAAAGAAACTCTTAAACTTGTTAGATAAAATGTTACAAAGTCATTGCAATGATAATGTGAAAATGCTGCCAAATTAAAGTAAACTTTAATGTGTGAATAATAATGAGACTGTAAACCTCAAACTCTGTAAACAAAACTAATTATGATAATTAAATCTGAGCTTTAAAGGAACCAACCATCATTATTCAAATACATACTGCCACATACTGCAACAATTGTGAAGTTGAATGACCACATTACCCCCTATGCTAAAACATCTTTCAGATGGGGAGCTAGTGGCTGGGATGCACATGAAAAGAAACCAAAAAGCCACTTTGGCGACATCCTTGCATCCTCTTTTATATACAATCTCCTCACTGCTGCTATACAGCACTCATTTTCACATGTGTTATTTTTCTGACCTGAAGTGACAAGCGTGCGCGTGGATTCCTTGACCATTTACAATGGACTTTTCTCATGCTCAACTGGCATCTCTTGTAGCTAGGCAACAATCAAGCGTTTTCTCGGAAGATGACAAATTAACAAAGCATTGCTGCAGTTTCGATACAAGTTTATAGAGAGAATTAAAAAGTACTGCAGTGTTTAGATGCACTGTTTACCATTATCACTAAAATGTGTGTATTCCATGCAAAGTGGAAACCAGATTAGTTTGTTCAACATGAATTCTAGTGCGCTAGGGGCATTCGGAAAAGTTGCGTGTCTCCATTAGAAAAGACAAACTGACACTTTAGCTTATTGGCAACGCTTCAAGGCGCGCGCTTAGCAGCCACATTTTTATAAAACTATAGCACTTCATAGCGAAACTACATACAGAATTTTTTTTTTTAATTATCCATATTGACAATGGTGTTCGGTCAATAAATATCAACACAGATTTTATTGCCCAGCCCTGTGTTCACATGCTCTGAAATGATTGCCCTTGAAGGTCATCGGTTAACCAGTCTTTATCATATGAACACAATGGCCAATCAGTGGTGTTTAAGAACATGCTCAACTGCACTCAGCACTACCGAAGTCAATACTTTTGACAACCCTAGACTGTAGTAACAGACAGTGACAGGATTAAGGGGTTGAACCAGTAATGATATTATGTAGTAGTTATTCAATCCAGGCTTATTGAAGATACGTGCTGAGGACTACATTTTTGGGAACCACAAAATATGTGCCCAGGGCTATGTCTCCTTGCAGTTTTTGTTTTCACAAATCCACTGGAGGCTGCTGTATACACTTTTAACAATCTTAAATACGTTACCACGAATGCACCGCTCATAAAATCCACCAGAGGCCACTGTGTACATTTCTGCGAGTATGAACATCCTTCTTGTGCGTGTCTTTGAGAGAAGCCGGTTGATTTGTCAGGATGCATATATTAGCTTGCAATCTACTAACCCACCCACCCCTTCCCTAAACCCAACCAATAGTGTATTTAAAGGCAAACTAGCAAGAGAAGGGCAGGTTGGCATTTTTGTACGGAGTTGGCATGTTCTTCCCGTGTTGTTGTGGGTTTCCTCGGGGTGCTTCAGTTTCCGCCACAAACCAAAGACATGTGGTATAGGTGAATTGAATAAACTAAACTGAACGTAGTGTATCAGTGTGCGGGTGAATGAGTGTGTATGGATGTTTCCCAGTACTGGGTTGCATCTGGAAGGGCATCTGCTGCGTAAAACATGGTTGGAAAACATGCTGGAATAGTTGGTGGTTCATTTCTCTGTGGCGATCCCTGATAAATAAGGGACTAAGCTGAAGGAAAATGAATGAACTAGAAGAGAAAAAAAAAACACCACAAATTCACGCTCCTTTTTTGGTTTTGTTTTACTTGTTTTTAGAACCGTTCTTTGTCAAACTCAAACCTCAACGCCGTACAAGGCGAGCTACCGAGCAAACTGGTCACACCGGAAGAGCAGTCCATACAGAAGTAAGCAGTCAGCAGTAGTGCGAAAAAAAACTTGTACACAAAATGCAGCAATGTAGCCCCAGGTATATGAATCAAAATTCCCAAAAATGGAGCCCTGGGCACATATTCCCAATAAGCCAGTATGTGTTGCAGTTATAATAGTGTTGGAACTGGGCCATTCTCAGTGGATTTATTGCATCATCGAGCCACATCTCAGCCCTGCCCAAAAAATATTACAAAGAGTCTTTGTAATGCATTTCAGCAATACATTTCTACCGTTTATAATTCTCAGAACTCTCTTTACCCAGACTTTTATTTTTTCAGTAAATCATAATGCAATATCTTTCAGAAGTATAAATGGTTGGTTGGATGTTTATTCAGTTCTTTTATTCAGCTAAGTCACATTAATAATTGTTGAAAGGTCAATATAATGACATCATGTAATTAAGTAATGACAGCTGAGAAATCAGTTTTGACATCACAGAAATAAATGATGCTAACAAAACAAACATGATATAAATCAGAATATATCGATTTAATCTTATGTTTGATCAAAGACATTTTGCTTTGTTTAGAGGAAAAAAAAACTAATTTAATGTTTATTTCAATCAAACTTTTCACCGCCAGTTTTATCATTATTATTTCAAAAATTTAAAACAGAGTAATATGCCAGGCATTACAATAGCTGAGCTAAATGCCACTGTGTAAATCTTTACCTCACTATAAACACACCCTAAAGTTCCCAAAGTATGTCTGTGTACAGCAGTAGTGTCCATATGTGCTGTGTGTTCACAGTTTCCATCCATTGCCCTTGTGCAACACAGCGATGAGTCTTCAGATCCTCTGTTCCTCTCGCTTCATTCCAGTCCTCTGAATCCACGGAGGAAACCACTTCACCCGTCACACACACACACACATGCTCAACCACCTCACACAGAGTCAGACACAGAGAGCTCAGGAAGCCGCACAGCAGTGCTGGCTGTGACCGCGATGCTCCAGCGCCTCCAGAGGGTGGAAGAAGAGATCAGCCAGGTGAAACACCACCAACCTCTTTCTGGCCTTTTGCTGGAGGTCCTGAATTATATTTAGCGTCTTTAACAGCTATGTATTCACATTAAAAAAGGAATAATTGCTACAGAATGTACTTATCATATTCAGGGTTTATGAAGCATGGTTAAAGACAGAGACAAGTTTAGCACTAGTGGTGGGTTATGTTTAGATATTTCTGCGCAGAATTTAAAAATAAAATCTGCGAATATATGTGGAATGACTTTGAGAGAAACTAGAAACTTAAACAAAGCTACAGTAAGTCTCTCATATAATATATCAGTAACACTTTTGTTTAGGCCACAATTCGCTGCATTAACAAATCATTAACTAACACTATTAGTTTAATAAAGTAAATAATAAATAATAAAATTAGCTGTTTATTAGTTGTAGTAAGGTAGGAGTTGAGTTTAGGTTTTAGGTAGGATTAGGGATGCAGAATAAAATCATACTTCATAACTAATGAGCAGTTAATATGTTAATAAGAGACAGGTAACAAGCCAGTAGTTAATAGCATGAATTGTGACCTAAACTAAAGCGCTACCAATATATCTACCAAAAGGCTAAAAAATATTACTTTGCAAAGTGTATTTTACATGAATTATTAAATAATTATTAATAAATATTCATATTGTTCAATAATATTACTGAAATTAATATAAAAACTGAATGCATATATAGTGCATTCTGAAAGTATTCATAGCGCTTTTTTTTGTTGTTGTTGTTACAGCCTTATTCCAAAATGGATTAAATTAATTTATTTCCTCAAAATTCTACACACAATACCCCATAATGACAATATGAAAAAAGATTTTCTGAAATTGTTGCAAATTTATTAAAATAAAAAGCCCTAAAAAATCACAATACTTTCTTAATACAGCGGACGTTTCTGGAGACCGCGAAATACGTCCCGGGAGGTACGTATTTGTGCAGTTTTTGTTTTTGCGAATCCGCGAGAGGCCACTGTGCGCGCTTTTTTCGTATCTCAAACGTCTCTCGCGAGTGCCGTTCGCGCCCGCGCTGTTCTCGCGTCAACCCACTAAAGGCCACTATCTGACTGACCAAATGATTGACTGCGTGACCGGCCAATCGGCTGACCCACCCTCCTCCTTCCCAGTTTTACCGATTGACCCGCCCGCCCGCTCACTTCCCTAAACCTGAGCAACAATTTAGAAAAGCCGTCTAGAAAAAGAAAAACCCTCATCTGTTTTTTTTTTTTTTTTTTTACCGTGTTTTCACCTCAACTCGTTCGCTTTATTTTTTGGATTCTGTTTTTGTCTTGCCTGGTTTCTGGAACCGCTCTTCCCTGAACTCGAACCCGGGTGCCTTTGTCAACTCATCCTCTCTGCATCTGAAGTCCGCCGAAGCACACGATGAGCTGACCGGACAAACTGACTGCAGCGGGAAAGCCCTCCACATGGAGGTAAGCAGTCAGCTGGCAAGCGCGAAAGGGAACGGCGTCACACCACCCCGTAGTGTTTGCTTAAAAAAATGAAATGCAGCCATACGTACCTCCCAGGACTTATTTCGCGGTCTCCAGAAATGTCCGCTGGACTACGTTTTCAGAATGAGCCTGGGTTGCATTTTCAGATATCTCTAGAGATGTTCAATAGGATTTAGATCTGGGCTCTGGCTGGACCACTCAAGGACATTCCTAGAGTTGTTGCAAAGCCACTCTGTTGATATTATGGCGGTGTGCTTTGAGTCATTGTCCTGCTGGAAGATGAACCGTTGCGCAGTCTGAGGTCAAAAGCACTCTGAAGCAGGTTTTCATTCAGGATGTCTCTGTACATTGCTGCATTCATCTTTCCCTCTATCCTGACTAGTCTTCCAGTTCCTGCTGCTGAAAAACATCCCTACAGCAAGATGCTGCCACCACTATGCTTCACTGTAGGAATGGTATTAGCCTGGTAATGAGCGGTGTCTGGTTTTCTCCAAACATAACGCCTGACATTCACTCCAAAGAGTTTAGTTTTAGTCTCATCAGACCAGAGAATTTAGTTTCTTATGGTCTGAGAGTCCTTCATATGCCTCTTGGCAAATTCCAGGTGGGGAGTGACTTCAGTCTGGCCACTGTACCATACAGGCCTGATTGGTGGATTGCTGCACTGATGGTTGTTCTTCCATAAGGTTCCGTAAGAAGAACGCTGGAGCTCAGGCAGAGTTACCATCTAAGTGACTAAGTGACTAAGACCCTTCTACCCCGATTGCTCAGCTTAGATGGCCGGCCAGCTCTAGGAAAATTTCTGGTGGTTCCAAACATCTTCCACTTATGGATAATGGAGGCCACTGTGCTCATTGGAACTTTCAGAGCAGCAGAAATTTTTCTGTAACCTTCCCCAGCCTTGTGCCTCGAGAAAATCCTGTCTTCATGCTTGGTTTGTGCTTTGAAATGCACTGTCAACCCTGTCAAAAGGTGTATGCATTTTCAAATCATGTCTAAATTTACCACAGGTAAACTCCAGTTCAGCTGCTTAAAACATCTCAAGAATGATCAGTGGAAACAGAATGTACCTGATCTCAATTTAGAGCTTCACGGCAAAGACTGTGAATACTGATGTACATGTGATTTTTCAGGTTTTTTATTTTTAAATAAATTTGCAACAATTTCAAAAAATATTTCACTCTGTGGGGCATTGTGTGTTAAATTTGGAGGAAATAAATTAACTTAATCCATTTTGGTATACGGCTGTAACATAAAAAAAAAAATGTGGGAAAAACTGAAGCGCTATGAATACTTTCCAGATGCACTGTAAGGGCTAATAAAGCTAATAAAGGGCTAATAATTCTGACTTCAACTGTATGTCTATTTAGAGGCAAACTCAAAATCTGTGTTTAATCAAACATAAAAAAGATGATAATTATTGCAATTCTATTAATAGCCCTAATTATGAGTAACTAAATGTCAAACAGATTAGCAGATAGTGATCTAACAACAATTTTCCTGAAGTCTGTCTTCTCTTCCACTTTCTTTTTCTTGCTGTTTCTCTTTCTGCTGGCCTCACTCAGAGGAAAGCCCAGACTCAAAAGGCCAGGGAGTTTCACAAAAAAAGCATAAAGGAGAAGGCTGTGCATTTGAGCGCTCTGTTCTCTGGCGAGGCCTCCGCTCCTGATCAGGTGACTATATAGGCTTTCCTCACTCAGCTGCTGTTGCATGCGCTGCGCTTCTGATCACTGAGCGTCATTTCATGCACCTGCAGTCTTTGCAGATATCATCGCATACTGAGTAATTCATTCCCTACGCCCCTGCGCCACCATAATTGGGTAATAATCTGTCCTGCAGAACAGATGTGGGTCAACTGAGGACATACTCGAATACGGTCAGACTTCAAAAGAGTAAATATAGTCAATGCATACCAGCGGAATCACAACTCACAAAGCGTCCTGGCCAGTGAAAACATATTAGGTGCTATTCAGTTGTTCTATTTGGAATAAATGTTTTCACAAATCTTTTATGAGCTTTGGTGGGAATGTGAGAAGGATCAAGACTTTTGTATGGCTTTTTTAGTCCTATAAAGGGAGCTGGGACGCTCAGGAGGCCAGTAGGCGTTTTAATTGATCTTTCAGTGTTGAGGAAAAGCTTCTTTTCTTTTCTTTTTTTTTTTACTACACACATAAGGAGAATCCATCAGCTCAGGTGTCCACAGATCATTCAAACATCCCCAGTCTTTACGAGTTTTCATCTTAACTTAAAGCGAATTTTGTCAAAGTTTGCAAAAAAGAAAAAAAAAAAACTCAAGAGTTCATCTGTGCAAGTTCATTCATTCATTTTCCTTAGCTTTTACTTACTTTTCGGCCACAGCAGAATGAACCGCCAACTACTCTGGCATATGTTTTAATGCAGTGGATGTTCTTTCAGCAGTTAATACACTGAAAAAAAAAAAGGTTTTAGTAATCTTCAATCAAATTCTGACCATTCGCTTTCTCTTTTGGGGCTGTTTCAGTGTCATGTCAGTTTGGTGGCTCCAAAATATTCTTAACCATGCTCCTCTTACCATTAGTCTGCTATGAGGCAATGATGCGCAAATAGAAAGCCTTGCCCCCTACTTAATTTTTCATTTCAGTTGGAAGTGCATCAACATACTGAAGCAAGTTCCGGTATACACAGACTTTAAAGTGGCTGACTGTAGTATTGGTAACCTAGCAACCAACAGTAAACAAAACAAGTATAATTGAGACATCTGATTGGTCATTTTTGCTGTAATGTTTGATACACAGAGTTTATTCAAGAAGTGCATTTCAATCTCCTAATATTCACATTAACACATTTGCAACAAGTCTAAAACCACCTCAAGCAAGCGTAAAGACTTTTTTTTTAAATAAGGGATTTAAATTTTAAATTTGCCCCTTTAATCACTCGTTGTTCATACAAAATATGCATTAACACTGGGTGATGGAAATAATGTGTAAGAACTAAAGCTAAATAAGCTAAATAACTATGCTAACTAGTGGTACTAAAAAGCAATCTAAAAATATATAACATATTTTTTATTGTAGATGGTATTTCAATAGACCCCTGCTGAAAAATCCAGCTTAAACCAGCCGAGGCTGGTTGGCTTGTTTTAGCTGGTTGACCAGCCTGGTTTTAGAGGGGTTTTGGCCATTTCCAGGCTGGTTTCCAGCCATTTCCAGCCTGGTTTTAGCTTGTCTGGCTGGAAAATGACCAGCTAAATCCAGCTAAAATCAGCTTGACCAGTCTGGTTTAAGCTGGACATAGCTGGTTTTGGCTGGGCTCCCATCCTGGCTAGGCTGGTCAAGCTGGTTTTAGCTGGTCATCTCCCAGCCTGACCAGCTAAGACCAGGTTGGAAATGGCTGGAAACTAGCCTGGAAGTGGCCAAAACCCCTCTAAAACAAGGCATTATTTTCTCAATGGGAGTGAAATAGGGGCTTCTGCTGTAACTTCAATGTCAGTGAAAGACTGTCCAGCAAACACATGCTGTGATTTGTGCAGAGTTTCTGAGTTTTAATTACTCACACTCACCTCCCTCGCCATAGTATTTTACCGCCACATAGGGTTAGGATAGATAAATGGCATCAGTACGTAATAACCAGTTAGGATCTATTACTTAACCGATACTGAATTGTCCACGTCTGCATCACAGTGTACAGAAGGAACAATTAATTTTGACACCCCAAATTGATATATTATCTTTAAGTAAAAATCTCAGAATTTTACACTTTTACAGACACAAAAATTGAGTCTGAACTCAGCGCTCATGAGTATTTTTGTCTGGTTTTACATTAAATTAAAAAAAAGCAAAATAAATTAGAGTTAAATTTTTTTTTTATATTTAAAACAAGAACTAATATTTGTCAACAAGTGAAGAAAACCATAAACTCTGTTGATTTTTAATCTTACTGCCAAAACGTTTAGTTGCCTTGATTTATACATACACTTGCTTAATTTAAAGACTATCATTTTATTTAGCAAATGCAAATGTGTCTTGATTAAATAAAGTTCAAATATTCACAAATACAATGTGAACAAAAAAAATGTTACAAATACAATGCTTCTATATGTTTCATACATATATATATATATATATATATATATATATATATATATATATATATATATATATATATATATATATATATGTGTGTGTGTGTATACACACACACACAGAATATTTACACGCGCAGAAACACTTCCTCACTAGTTTACTGAATAAAAAAAAATGTAAAAAATAAAAAAGCAGCATCTGCAAATGTGTTCATCTTTCTTTCTTTACTGTAACAAGCATGTTCTGGATTTTGTCATCCATCATTAAAGTGCAGGCCAGACGTAGCTCCTTGTAATTTCTTTGAACCATTTGAGTATATTTAGCTTTTGAAAACATTCCAAAGAGCGAGTAACATGTGTTGAACAGTCCTCGACTGCTAAATCTGAGTGTTTCATTTTAAGATTTTCTTAAGCAACCTCAGTTACATAATACTATTGCTGGGTATGTTTGCCCAAAGCAATGTGTAGAGAAAAACATGAACGACATATATTTTGTAAATTAGTTGTTTCACATATAGACAACTGAAATTAGGAGCAAATGGTGAAGGCAAGGATAAAGTTCTTTACTCAATTAGGCCTCCTGAGCTGTACAAGAGCGATGTCTAAGCAATACATTTTCCTTATCAGCGGCCTGTAATCCAGTTTTCTTGGTTCATACTGAATGTTGAAGTCATGTTCTGGCCAAACTGACTCCTCTGCTGTCTGACCTTGCAGTCTATCTCCACATTTAACCCCACCACACCCAATCCCAGAATGCATCATTGCTCTCTCCCATCTCCTCTTCTAATCTTGTCTTCTGTCCTCTGACACTGCCTGCCATTACTTATACATGATGTGTTATTCATTGCTAATACAATTAAACACAGCTAATTGTGCTTTCTCATTTAACAGTCTTTAATGGATCATTATCATTTCATGTTTTTGTTTTCTGCTCTTCCACAATAAGACGGATAGATCTCAGACTGGGCTGTTAGACAAGCAGCTTCATGAAGAGAAGAGAGAGTCAGCAAAAAGATTACTGCAGGTGCTGAACAAAACGTTCATACGCAAATGTTTTATCTTCAGAAAATAACATGTTTTGATCCTATTGTATTTACACAAAGGCGCATTCTGATTACGTATCACTATATACATTTCTGGAGAAAGCCAAATACATCCCAGGAGGTGTTTTTTTTTTTGCAGTTTTTGTTTTCAAAAGTGCACCAGAAGCCGATGTGTACACTTTTTGAGATTTCAAATTTTTCTTGTGAGTGCCATTCGTGCCTCCTGTTCTCATATAAATCCACCAGAGGCCGCTGTAGACTGACTGACCAACCAGCTGACCCACCCTCCTCCTTCCCTAAACCCAACCGATAGTGTTTTCAACAGCAACGATTGACCAGCAGATCTCCAGAAATGTATATAGGGCTACATTGTCAGTGACGCAAACACACGCTTGCATACCCACACACTTACAGAAACATCATGTAAGTGAAAACTCTATACAAAGAAAAATAAAAAACTTATCTGAATGCTTCTCCAGTGTAGACAAGACAAAATGAGCCCTATTATACACCCGGCACAATAAGGTGCAAGACATGTTTGGCATGATTTGTTGCTATTTTCAGACCACCGCATGCCTAATTTTCAAGTTTTGCGCCACGTTGTTTAAATGGCAAATCCATTTGCACCAGTTTGTAAACTCATGGGTGTGCCAGTCTAAAAAGGAGGTGTGTTAAGGCGCATTGTTGCCACGTTGCTATTTTGAGTAACTAAAATAGCACCATTGACCAACTAAAAGCAGCTCTAAAGTCCAGCGCAATGTTAAAAAAAATATTATTTTCTAAATAATTATAAAAACCACTACCGTCATGCCTTCTTCACCTCGGGGGGCTTTTTTCAGTTTATTCATGGCAATTTGCTTTTGTATAATGTTATTATTATTAGCAGTATTATTTATCTTATGCATATTTATATTTGTTTTAATAAAAACAAGTTTAGATTTGTCCAGATGTCGGGTTTTGAAGATGTGTGCATCACCATATGGGGCATAAGAATAGAATGTATGTTTAGATATAAAACCTATATATAAAACACACTTTGTTATTACTTTTTTATTATTTGTTTGCTGGACATTAGAACTGAATTTAGAAATAGTTTTGATACAAATCTTTATGCTTAACAAATTAAATTAAATATGTAGGCTAATGGATGTCTTCAGTGGAGTGAGTACAACATAGTTTCCTTATCCAGGAATGTAAAGTAGTAAAGAGTAAAAGTAAAGTAAAAAGAAAGTAAAGAGGCCGATTGGAGGAGGCTTGTTCTTTATTCTCGCGCTGCAGATGGTCTATTTAAATGTTTTTTCACTAATGAAGCTAAAAGTTTTTCCTCTTACAAAGTCCGCCATGTAAATAGCAAATGCACCATGGCTCGACTCAACTAACTCAAGGGAATGGGAAATGAGACTCTGATTGGTTTAATGCACGTTATGCTCAAAACACACCCATAACTCATTAAGAGAATAAGCACAACCCTGTTAGACCATGCACCAAAGCGCAAAGCGTATTTTCCATCCTAACATAGCAAAAGTGGATTTGTACACGTGCTTAATGCTTTTGCATTCGCTTTAGACTCTGCGCCTAGATCGTAAAAAAAGAGCCCATTATGAGTGACAGGATTGCTGAATGTAAAATATGCATACATGAAAAGAAATTATTTTTAAAATTCATTTATGCATTCTTTTTTTTTTTCGGCTTAGCCTCTTTTATTAAACAGGGGTCGCCACAGCGGAATGACCTGCCAACTTTTCCAGCACATGTTTTACGCAGCGCTTGCCCTTCCAGCCGCAACCCATCTTTGGGAAACATCCATACACACTCATTCACACTCATACACTACTGACAGTTTTAGCATACCCAATTCACCTGTACTGCATGTCGTTGAACTGTGGGGGAAAACACCGGAGGGAACCCACACAAATGCAGGGAGAACATGCAAACTCCACACAGGAACGCCAACTATCTATCAAAGGAAACCAAAATCTTAATGCTCTTATAAAAGTGTCACCTTATAGACTCTTCCAGCAATCTGTTCTGCTACTGATCCACATTTATCTGTGCAGCCATCTTCTTCTATCCACCTCCCTTCTCCCAATCCATTGACCACCACTTCATATCCTCTAACACAATCCACTGCTACTTCCTGTCCTCCACCTATCCTTTCTTCCTGTCCATCTTTTCCAATCCAGCAGGTAAGAACAAACCTTTAAACACTGTTTCAGTCTTCTAAATTTAATTCTTTCCTTTTCTCCTCTTCCATCTGCATCCATTAATAAAGTGTTTAAACCCAAACCGTTACTTGAGCAGCCTTTAAAACAGGCTGAAACAGTGAACCGGTTGCATCTGGTGAGAGTTCTCTCTCACTGTTCAATATTGGGATTAATTATAGGTTAGTTATTATTATTGTATGCGTGGGGTAAAGCTTGATGATTTATTGAATGGGCCTTCATTTTTGGTTTCAGTTAAGCAATCGCAGAACGTCTCATTTAAGCAAAACCGAGATCCCTCAGTCCAAGGAAAACACAAACGTTAAAGTCTATGATAAGGTATCACAGCAGCATCTAAACTTCCTGCTCTGTGTCTTTTGCGATAAAATATATTTGTAAAGCTAAATCCACATGTTTGCACGTCAGACAGGGCATGTTTCTTATTTGATAGTTTGGCAAGTTGATTTTTCGACTGTAAAAATGATCACTTGCTGTGTGTGAAGTATATCTACATCTGTGCATGTTTTAGTATCATGAAGGAAACTATCATATTTTTTTCTTAATATATTGAATTGGCTTTTAATTTTTATGTTTTTCATTTGTTTTAATGATTTTGTTGCACGTTTATATCATGCCTTTTAAATATGTAAATATAATTTTGGTTATTTCACTACATTTAGTTGAAGTCAAAATTATTAGCCTTCCTGTGATTCAAATATTTTCCAAATTATGTTTAATAGAGCAAGGAATTTTTCATAATATTTCCTATAATATTTTTTTCTTCTTGAGAACATTTTATTTGTTTTATTTCAGTTAGAATAAAATCAGTTTTTAATTTATTTATAGCCATTTTAAGGTCAATATTATTAGCCCCCTTAAGCTATATTTTTATTGATTGTCAACAGAACGAACCATCAGTATTGTATCAATCACCAACGATCTAGCCCATGCAGTTCACTGGAGAACAACAAATTTGCCACCATATGAACTACAAAATCCCACCATTGCTGTACTCTCACACCTGTTCTGGTTTACTTTTGATTGCAAACACATACAGCTCAAGCTGTTCAGGACTTATCCGATGGGCTATAAAGACAGTACACACATTGTGGCTGAGTCTTCTGCAATGTGAATATGCTGGACAACGGAGTTGAGGATCCAGATGCAGTTTTATTAAGAGAATGGTCTAGCCAGCAAGGGTCAAAGCTGGAACAAACAGGTGTATGCAGTGTAATCTAAAACATGGTCGGTAATAGGCGAACGGTATGAAGGGCTGACGTGAAACTGAGTTTCGACAGTGACAAGATCCCGAAGTGCAAGCATTTCAAAAAAACACTGAACCGAAGCATGATCTGAAACAGCCAGGTCACGTGACTAAAGTGTTTCGAAACACTAGGTCACGTGACTACAGCAATTTAAAGCATTGGGCATTTTAATAGCGTTTTGAGAACTGGCTAATCTGCATTTGACAAACAGGGTCGAAAAAGCATCTCAGGGTGCTTTCACACCTACACTTTTATTTCGGAACGTGTCTCGTTTGCCCAGTTAGCGCGGTTCGTTTGGCATATGTGAACATGGCAATCGCGCTCTGTTCTGCGCCAAAATAATCGCTCCGAGATCGCTTGAATGAGATGGTCTCGGCTTGATTGAAACGAACCCTGGAGTGGTTCGATTGCAGTGAGAAAGCGATCCGATCCGAGCACGGTTATATCACAGTGTTTTATGGATATGTAATAGGCATACGGCTATATGAAAAGAGAATTATGAGTATGGAGGGAAGTTTCGCGAGTCTCCGGATGCCCGCAAATGAGTGATGATCTCTCGGTAAAGTCGCGTCTCCCTCCCGGTCCTCAAATAGGCTACGTCGCGCACCTTCTCACCCCTCCCCACCGCATCTCTCCTCAGACACATCGCGCGCGAGCACCCTGTCAATCACCATCAAACCACCATCTCTACTGACAGCTGAGCGCGACGCTGCCAAATAAACCCTGGCACTCTGACCAATGTGAGGAGAGTTTACTCACACGTGACTTGTTTTAGCTCTTTTGGTCCGATTAGAAACTTTGCAATGTGAAAGCGAACAGCTCCAAGAGCAAAGAGCAACAATGTAACAATTGTAATCTCTGTTTCGGAACAACTGAATCGATTCACAGGTGTGAAAGCACCCTCAATCTCCTGTAGCCAAGTGGGCCGTGCATGTGTAGGGGTTAACTGTGCTGCAAATGGCCCAAGTTTGAATCCCGAATTATACAAACACTGTTAGATGAAGACTTGCTGTATTTTAATAGTTACTTTTTTATGACCAAAAAAGACATATTTATATATGTCAGACAAAAACAAAACTACATGAACCAAACCTTTAAAAACTATCATATATAGCTGCATCACCCTGGATTTGAACCCATTATCATTGGCGTGCAAGTCTGGAACTCTCACGGCTCCTCTAAATCACTTGAAGCTTCAACTCTACATTCTTAGAAATAAAGGTGCAAGAGCTGTCCCTGTGCTGGTACCTTTGTAAAAGCTACACATTTGCACCTAAAGGGTCCCTATTAATACCTCATGAGTACATATTAGTATCTAAAAAATACAAAAGTGTACCTTTTTAAATTTTTTAGGTACAAATATAAGCTTTTGAGGTATAAATATGGACCCTTTAAGTACAAATGTGTATCTTTTGAAAAGGTACCACCCCAGTGACAGCTCTCGTACCTTTATTTCCGAGAGTGTACAATGTGAGGTACAATACCTTAATTTGCTCAGCTGTTTCTTTGCTCAAGTTGTTCCAGCGCATTACATAAAATGACCGCTAGGTGTCACTGTAGAGACAGGTTTCGAAAGGTTTTGACGCTTCGACACATTTGCTTCGACTGTTTTAGTGTTTCATGAAACCTCGCTTTGCCCACCACGAGCGAATGGTCAGTACAGGTGGCAAACTACATAAACAAAGAAATATAACGAAGGTCAAACACGGCAAGTGAAACAAGTCGCAATGTTCACAAAACTGTATAACAAGACTCTGCAACAATGTGTGTGTGCTGTCTTTATAGCCCATTTGATTAGTTCTGGCTTCAGCTGTACGTGTTTGCAATCAAAGGTGAACCGGAACAGGTGTGAGAGTACAGGTATGATGGGGTTTGTAGTTCATTTGGTGGCAGATTGTGACAGTTATACAATGACTTGCCTATTTACCTTAACTTAACCCAGTTAAGCCTTTAAATATCGCTTTAAGCTGAATACTTGTATTGTAAAAAAATATCTAGTCAAATATTATTTACTGTCATCATGGCAAATATAAAAGAAATCAGTTATTAGAAATGAGTTATTAAACTATTATGTTTAGAAATGTGTTGAAAAAATCTTCTCTCCGTTAAACAGTTATTGGGGGAAAATATTTAGGAGGGCTAATAATTCAGACTTCAACTGTATTATGGTAAACCACAAGTTCTGCAAAAACAAAAATCAAATATTTTGTGTTACAAAAAGTACTGATTCTTCAAATAGCTTGAGAGTACTTGAAATATCTCCATATTTAGCATGCCAACATATCATCATAAAACATCATATTTCCCTGTTGCCTAATCTGTCTCTCCATCTCTGCTCTGAACAGACCAGTTCTTCCACTGTCCACCATCATTCTAACTCCATAATATTTCACCCCATCCCAGAATGCACTGCTCCTATTCACCTTTCCTTTTCCTTCTCTTCTGCTTTCTCATTAAGGTAAAGAAGCGATTGTATCTTCTTCAACAATACTTCTTTTAAAGTTACAGTATGTCTTACTAACAGACTCATTCACTTTATTTACATCTCTTTTAAAGCAGTAAATCAAAGTCTGAAACATGCAGTGGCGTAAATATGCAAAGACAATCAGAAAGTAGCTCTCAAATGGTGAGTGATTAATTGAGAATGAAACATTCGGCCATAAATGAATAGCTATTGTTGTTGTATACTCACCATCAAGCTGTTTCAAACCTGTATATTGTTCCTTGTACAGAAGAAAAATTCCACATGGCATTATGTAAAGGAGACCTATTATGCCCCATTTTACAAGATGCAAAATAAGTCTGTGTAAGTTTTAGCTAAAAATAATGTTTTGTAGCTAATAGTATAGACTTTGATCCGAATTGTGCTGTTTTGTTGACTGTTGCTTTAAATTCAAATGAGATTGTGCTCTTTTCAAAAGAGGGTGGAGCTACAGATGTCTGTGTGTCACCACAGTGGCAGATGCTAATGAGGGAGAGATTGTCTCGAATGGGCGGGGCTTTCACCCTCTGATGACATGTACAAAGAGTGTTTCTGCAGATTGTTTTTATCAAGTCTGATTTAAAAAAAAAATTTAATTAATAAATTTTTACCATTAGAAACTAGTTATATTCACAAACTTTTGCCACAAAGCTGTTTTTAAAATCCTTATAAAAGTGATTTTGGCATAATTAGTGCCCTTTAATACTGAATGACAAGTTGAGGATGGGAACAATATTTTCAGTGTCCTCATTCTCCATTCTGCTTGCTAATTTTGTTTGTATATAAATGGACTGAGACCCTTAAAGGCACAATATATACATTTCTTTCATTAGAATATTTTAAAACCACTAGAACAATGTCATATATTTTGCTGACTTGTGTTCTTACATTATTCCAAATGATTCAGTGATAAATGTTCAAATGCAGAGAATTAAGCAATTTTATCAAGTGACACAGACAGTTTCACAGACCCTCAACTTCTGGTTTGACATGATAAGTGTTGAATACTTTAGCTCATCCATGAAAATAATTTATAGGATAAAATGAAGACCACAACTCCAAACAAATGCCTTTGTTTGTTAAGAATATACGGCCTCTAGTGGTGAATATTATATATTGTGGCTTTCATTCAACCTAGGCTCATCATTGGTACGTACCCCTGCATACATTTCTGGACAGAGCAAAATACGTCTTAGGAGGTATGTTTTTTTTTTTTTTTTTTTTTTTTTGCAGTTTTTGTTTCTTGCGAATCAGACAGAGGCCAATGAGTACGCTTTTTCAAATCTCAACTGTCTTGCAAGTTCCATTTAAGCCTGCTCTTTTTGTGTAAATCTACCAGAAGCCAGAATAACTGACTGACTGATTGATTGACCCACCCACCTCCTTCCCTAAACCCAACCAATAGTGTTTTCAAAAGCACCGATTGACCCAACCACCCACCACCGTGAACCCACATGACCGTGTTTTGAAAAGTAATTAAGAAAAAGAAAAGCTCTCATCTGATTATCAAAACATTTTCCGATCTTACCATGTTCTCGCCTTGTTATTTACTTGTTTATTTTATTTTTGGCTTTTGTTATTGTCTTACCTGCTTTCTGAAACCGTTCTTCGCCGGACTCGAACACCATCATCACGGTCAACTCCGCTCCATGTTACAAGTCCGCCAATGTACACGGGCAAGTCGTAGCCTTCATTTTAATGATGAAATGCAGCCATTTGTGGCTCTGGCTACATAATTTGTGATCTCCAGAAATTTATATAAGGTCTACATTTTTAGGATGAGCCTATGTTGAATGTACCACATCTCTCATGATTCCACACTTAGTCATCATCAAACTGTTTTTTCTTTTATTTGTTGTGAATATGCACCCTGTAGTGGTAAATATTTATATTGTGCCTTTAATTGCTGCTTTGGTTTTTGGAAAAGGTTTGAAACAGCACAGGTATAAGTAAATTAAAATATAACCATAATCTGTGGTACTAACTAACATTTGCTTGAGAATTCTCTCAAATCTACATTTTCAGTGTGACAGCTGCAGTAGCATATCATCCTTTACTGTGAGAAAACAAACAGATGTTCCTCAGTCAAATGAAGACTTGAGTGCTACTAAACAGGTACATGGCCATATCAGTGGACTGAAGATTATCTTCAGTTGCCTAGGACTCGCATGACGTACACATTCTTTTTGGAATGAGTCTTTCTATGAGATTAGTGTTGGCATGTTTTATGTAGAGCTCTGATCAGTGCGGCAACTCTCCTTGATGGGCTGTCTGTCTGCACATGGTTGGCTCTGTACTGAGAACATGCCAGTGGAACAAACACACACGCACGCACGCACGCACACACACACACACGTTTGTTTTTGTGAAAAGTGGGGACATTACATAGGTTTCCATTCATTTTATACTGTCCAAACCGTATATTATATTGCCCTCACCCCACCCCACCCCTAAACCCAACCATCACAGGAGACTGTGTGCAGCTTTACTCTCTGATTAAACTCATTCTGTAGAATTTATAAGCATTTTGAGAAATGAGGACGTCACCAATGTCCTCATATTTCACCTCCTTTTTGTAATACCTGTGTCATACCCATGTCATTATACAGATTTGTGTCCTGATATGTCACAAAAACAAGTACACACACACACACTTGTTCCTATATCCTAGTGGTGACTCTCGTTGTTGTTTATACAAACCATATATTCTGTCCCCTATCCCAAACCGACCCCTAAACTCTTACTCTTAAATTGTTACCCTCACTGGAAACAATCTGCATTTTTATATTTTCAGAATACTTCATTGTGTGTAATTTACAGTATAGGCATGTTCTATTCAATTCAAGATTATTTGTATAGCGCCTTTCACAAAATTTTTGTTTCATAGCAGCTTTACAAAAGGTGCACATTATTGCATTATAATTAAACTTGGAAAAGCTAAGGTTATTAGTTGCCATATCTTTATTAGTTACTAATAATTAGTAACTAATAGCTTTTAACAGTTAAAGTTCTTATAAACATTGATAACCTGCAGTTATGTTGTATACGTGGTCCCCACTGTGACAAAAGTTCCCACGAGTCCATGTGTATTCAGGTATTCAGATGTGTATTCAAGTCCCCAGTGGGATTTAAAACAAGTACACACATAGGTTTGTTTTTGTGAAATGTGGCAACATTCCATAGGTTTCCATTGTTTTTATACTGTACAAACTCTATTAGTTTGCCCAATCCCAAACCTAAACCCAACCGTACCCTTAAAAAAACTCATTCTGTGTGATTTATAAGCATGTTCCAATGGAGACCTCAACATTGGTCCCCACTGTGACAAAACTTTGACAAAAGTCCCCCTGAGTCTATTCACATAGAAAAACAAGTACATACACAGGTTTGTTTTTTGTGAATTGTGGCAACATTCCATAGGTTTACACATTCTATACTATGTGCCCTTTCCTAACCCTAAACCCAACCCTACCCTAAGAAACTAATTATATTTGATTTATAAGCATGTTTACCAATGGGGACCTCGATTTTGGTCCCCACTGTAACAAAAGTCCCCATGAGTCTGTGTGTATTCAGGTATTTAGGTGTACATTAAAGTCTCCAGCAGGATATAAAAACAAGTACACACACACAGGTTTGTTTTTGTGAAGTGTGGTAACATTCCATAGGTTTACATTGCTTTTATACTGTACAAACTGTACATTCTTTTACCCTACCCCAACCCAAACCTATCCCAGCCCGAAAAAAACACACATTCTGTGTGCTTTTAAACCTTTTAAGAAATGTGGACATCAGCAATGTCTTTATAATTCATTATCTCTTTGTAAAATGCATCATAACCATGTCAGTATCGACATTTTGTGTCCTGATATGTCATAAAAACACACACACATAGACACACACTTGGAGAAAGTGAGAGCATTCCAGACATCCTCTCTTCCCTTGCCAGATGCTTGATCTGAATCTCAAGCTCCACCTACTGAACAGTTCGGAGTGATTAGATCATTATATAATCTAGTGAACGTAGGAGTTTGTCAGGTTTAAAAGGTTGCCTTTAAAAGTACCTCAGATTTGACTGACAGCTCTCATTGTGAGCAGAAAGGCATGGGCTCTGTTCCAAACCTGCTGAGACACCTACATGTTATAGAGACAAGCCAGGTTTATGTAAAAACTACCTAAAGGGGATGTATCATGCCACTTTTAATAATATGATAATATAACTGTGTTTTTTTTTTCAACTGCATGCAGCATGGTTTGGTTCTTTATGCCTCATTTTTAGTTTTTCCACTGAGTTTCATACTGAGTGCCTGGTGCTTTTTTTTCAGGTAAGGTTCCAAGTGAGCGGTACCCTTACCACAGTGCTTCTCATTTATTTTTTTGTTATGCCTCCCCTGGGAAGAAGTAAACATTTTACACCCTTAATCAATTCTTATTTAAACTGTAAACATTTGTTAAACGCTTGATACTGAAGAGTATAATTAAATATAATCAATAAATAATAATAAATTCAAATTGATTAGCAAAATTTTAAATATGAACCATCTGGTACTGAAAAGCAAAATTAATATACTGAAAAGTGTAGTCACAGAAACGTATAGCAGCATTTCGCCTTTAAATCGAACGCTACAGGGTGGTTTGACGCCGTTCCTTTTATTGCTTACCAGCTGACCGCTTACCTCCATATGGATGGCTATTCCGCTGTTACCAGTTTGCTCAGTAGCTCGCCACGTATGTCCCAGACTTGAGACGCAGAGCGTAGTTCAGCACGATGATGGGGTTTGAGTACGGTAAAGAATGGTCCCCCCCGAAACCAGACTTGCTCCAACTATTTCAGAAAGACTGCCTTACCAAAACATGTCATATTGACCTTATTCTTCATATATGAGCGGGAAATCCATTGGAATATTGATATTTAGACATTAAAAACGGGGCGACGCAGCAGCACAGTAGGCAGTGCTGTCGCCTCACAGCAACAAGGTCGCTGGTTCGAGCCTTAGCTGGGTCAGTTGGCGTTTCTGTGTAGAGTTCGCATTTTCTCCCTGCGTTTGCATGGGTTTCCTCCGGGTGCTCCGGTTTCACCCACAGTCCAAAGACATGTGGTACAGGTGAATTGGGTCAAGCTCTTACTAGGCTTTCTAGAAACATCCTTGCAGGTGTGTTGAGGCAAGTTGGAGCAAAAATCTGCAGGACACCGTCTCTCCAGGACTGAGTTTGGACACCCCTGCCATAGAGGCAGCAAAGCTAATTTTAGGTCAATATTATTAGCCCCCTTAAGCAATATATATTTTTAATTGCTTACAGAACAAACCACTGTTATACAATAACTAGCCTAATTACCCTAACGTAACCTAATTAACCTAGTTAAGCCCTAAAATTTCACTTAAAACTGAATACTAGTATCTTGAAAAATATCTAGTTAAATATTACTTACTGTCATCAAGGCAAAGATAAAAGAAATCAGTTATTAGAAATTATTTAGTAAAACTATTATGTTTAGAAATGTGTTGGGTAAAAAAGTCTCTCCATTAAACAGAAATTGAAGGAAAAATATGCAGGAGGGCTAAAAATTCTGCCTTCAAGTGCATCAATACATTCGGTCTTGGTTTTGAATTATCTTCTGTCAGTTTTTTTTCTTGCGTTTTCTCTCTTGTGCTCTGCCTTATGCTGCTTTTTACTTCTATTTCATTCTCTTTTCTCTATTTTCTGTCCCTTCTCTTTTATTGGCTGCTAGCGCACAGTGGGCAAAGTGTCTCTGAGAGTGGGTGCTAGAGCCGACGCTCTGGTTACCCTGTATGAAAATGATCATAGACCTCAGACAAGCAGCTCTGGCACTCCGGTAAGCCACAGATCAGCTGTCAGTTGTGTGTGTTTTGTTTTGTTTTTAAATTTAGAGACCAATATGTGATCCTGGATCAAAACAATTATATAATATAATAATATTATAATTATATAATATAATAATAGAAACATTTGTATTACTCTAAAAAATGTGACACAAAGTTCCACACAATCACTTCATGTTGTCCAAACACAAATAAATTAAGTTAACTGAATTGTTTTTAAAAATTTAAGTGGACTGAACAGAAAAAGAAAAAAAATTATTTTATTTTCATTTTATAAAAGTAGTTCGAACAGGTAGCAAAAGACATTTTTAAGTGTATAGTGTAAAAAAATCCTGGGTTCCTCACAATTCCTTCATGTTGTCCCAACACAAATCAATTAAGTTTTTACAATTTTAAGTGGACTGAAGAACATTAATTAACATGAAACAATTAAGTTGTCCCTCAAAAAAACTTGAGAATTGTCTTGTGTCAACTCATTTTATATAAGTAGTTTAAACAAGCAGCAATAGTATGGCCTTTTTGCTTGTGCACGTAGAACTACACACAATAAAATCTAAATAAATAAGATTTTCATTGATATTATTTGGAAATCTGGAATCTGAGGTTTCAAATAAATTTATTAAATAGTGAGAAAATCACTGTTAAACTAGTCTAAATTAAGTGCAATGCACAATACTAATCAAAAATTGAGTTTCTATTCAGTTACAGTGAGAAATATGCAAAGTGTCATTATTGAAAATGGAAAAAAAGCAAAAAAATATATAGTTTTTACTTATATTATTGCCAAAAGTATGGCTGTGTTTGGTTACAGTGACTGGTTTTGTGCTCCAGGGTCACAAGCATGCACAATCCTGACCTATTTTGTTCTGAACCTGTGTGATGTCCTTACTTTCGGGCTCCAAAAATCCTACAGTTAAATATATTAAATGATTAAATATATTAGATGAACAATTTCATACAGCTTTGCATATTACACATGATATAATATAAACTGCCTTGTGGTTATTTAAAATTTGTGAAGAATTATGCAGCATTTGAAAAATGTCAGATGGCTTGTGGTGTTTCAGAAATAAATATGGTTGTTAATCATAATACAAAAATAGATATTAAAAAAAAAAAAAAAAACGAAAGCACAATGTGTCATTGAAGAGATTACTCTACTGCATGTTTTTGGTAATTTGTGCATACTATGTCCTGGAAAAATAGTAGTATGGTTGTATCATATTCCAAAAACAACATATCCTGATGATTTTTGTAAATAAAACTGTATTTAACTGTAATATGAACTATTTTACTGTTGGAGAGTTATGCGGTATGTTACTGTATTTTAAACTTACATTGTGATGTTTTACAGTAAAGATAGGGCTGAGCCAATAAACTACTATATCGACTCGTGATAAAATTTGTCAATAACAATGATAGACTCTGGACTTTTATTACTCCCTATTGATCTAAGAGCCAATCACAGCAGAAATGTGCAACAATGAGAATCTAAAGTTTGTTGATATTACTAAAAATATGTTACGCCATTTATTGGACCCTCTAATTTTTGTGGCTTCAGTCAATGTTGGGGTACTCTTTTAAATCTGGAGGCATTAACTATATATCGCTATCATACTCTATGGAAAATAATTATTAAGATAGCAGTTTTGCCATATTTCTCAGCCCTAATTAAAGATATACAGTTGAAGTCAGAATTATTAGCTGCCCTTTGATTTTTTTCTTTTCTTTTTTAAATATTTCCCAAATGAAAAGAAAATTTTCACAGCATGTCTGATATTAATTTTTCTTCTGGAGAAGGTATTATTTATTTTATTTTGGCTAGAATAAAAGCAGTTTTTAATTTTTTAAACACCATTTTAAGGTCAAAATGATTAGCCCCTTTAAGCTATTTTTTTCCAATAGTCTACAGAACAATCCATCGTTATACAATAGCATGCCTAATTACCCTAACCTGCCTAGTTAACCTAATTAACCTGGTTAAGCCTTTAAATGTCACTTTAAGCTGTATAGAAGAGTCGTGAAAAATTTCTAGTCAAATATTATTTACAGTCATCATGGCAAAGATAAAAGAAATCAGTTATTAGAAATGAGTTATTAAAACTATTGTGTTTAGAAACGTGTAGACAATTTCTGCTCTCTGTTAAACAGAAATTGGGGGAAAAAATAAACAGCGGGTCTAATAATTCAGGGGGCTAATAATTCTGACTTCAATCGTACACACAATACTTTAAATCCAAATACAGCAAGATAAATGGTGCTGTCAATGTAAATACAGTATTTTTGCCTTAACTGATTTACAGCAAGTTACTAGAGATTGTACAGGAAATTGTATATTTATCAGTTATTTGGTGGGATTGGTCATAAAAGCTATTTTAAGAGTGGCCACTATAAAACAAATCTCAGTTTGTGAACTATATGTTTTTCCAGCCTGATCTCACAAGGAAACGTAACTATTTTGCGTTTTGTCAGTTTAGTGGGTAACTCGTACGAGTTCAATCATATGAAAATGTACCAAACCCCACCCCTAAACCTAACCATCATTGGGGGATAAGCAAATCATACTAAATTATACGAATGAGATCATACTGATTTAAAGGAATTAGCCACTAAATCAAAAAGTTAAGATTTGCAGTGAGATATCGTTGGTTACTAACAGATTTATTTTCAGCGTGCAGTAAATATTAATAACATATCTTGACCTGTTGTTTTTTTATCTCCCTAGCCTTCCATAAAGAGAGAGTTTCCTCAGACTCTGGGCGATGTGTGTCATGCCTGTAAGAAGCGTGTGTTTGTGGTGGAGAGACTCAGCGCAGAGGGATTTCACTTTCACCGGGAATGTTTCCGCTGTGAGACCTGCAGAGCTCCGCTACGTCAGGGAGGACACTGCTTCCATTCTGAGGAAGGTACTGAACTGCTTTTTTGATAAGATACCATTTTGATGATGACATTTGTCATGCTCACCTTATGCAGACTATACAATACCCCAAATCAGAAAAAAAAGTGGGACAGTATGGAAAACGCAAAAAAAAAAAAAAATAGAAGAAAGAAGTGATTTCTAAATTTACTTTGACTTGTATTTCATTGCAGACAACATGAACACAAAATATTTCATGTTTTGTCTGGTCAGCTTCATTTCATTTGTAAATATACATCCTTTCCTGTCATTCAGACCTGCAGCACATTACAAAGGAGCAGTTTAGAGCTAGTAATCAGGTAAATTGGTTAAATAATGATGTGATTTGAAACAGGTGATGTCAACAGGTGATTGTAATTATAAGTTGGTACAAAAGCAGCATCCAAGACAGGTCTAGTCTTTTAGGAGCAAATATAGGCCGAGGATTGCCAGTTTGTCAACAAATAGATGAGAAAATGATTGAAATGTTTAAAAACAATGTTCCTCAAAGAAAGATATTTGGATATTTCACTTCAACAGTGCATAACATAATAAAATAACCTGGTACTTTACTGGCCTGCCTGCAGTCCAAACCTGTCTCCAACAGAGAATGTGTTGTGCAATTTGAAGCACAAAATGCGACAATGAAGACCCTGTATTGGTACCCACCTGGGATAAAATTACACCTGAAACACTTCATCTCTTGGTGTCTTCAGTCCCTAAGTGTATTTTTAAATGTTGTGAAACAGAATGATGACAACTTCACAAAGTTGTAAATGCTTTACTGTTCCAACTTTTTTTTTTTTATTTGTTGCAAGAACCAAATTGGAATACGTGTTTATTTAAAAATTAAAAATATAAATCATGAGGAACATATCAAATAATGTCTGTTGTTTTGACTGCAATGAACTGAAGTCAAAGTAAATTTAGATATCACTACTTTCTTTTTTTATTTGTGTTTTTTCGTACTGTCCCAACTTTTTTTCTGATTTGGAGTTGTAGTTCAGTAGCAAAAACAACTTTTTAAAATTTTTATTCTTAATTTAATGTGAAACATTGTTTAATTGCCCTGTGTGTTTTTAGTTCTGTATTGATTCTAACGACATTTTATTGATATTGCAATATTTCCCCCTCGTCTCAAAAATCATTTTTCAAGCACTGCAAGCTAAATAAATTAAAGTTTGTTTTAATTTGATGGAATGCATTATAATTAATGTTGTTTCTAATCATTGCCTCACACAAGACTTTAATATGCAAACAGGGTTCAATAAATGATACAATAGATTTTACTGGGTTTAAAAAAAACAAAAAAAACAACAACAAAAAAATAAAGATGAAATTAAGCAAGCTATACTGTAATTTAAATGGTTGTTTACATCAGGACTGATGCCGGAAAATCTTGATCAGTAAAAAAAGTAAAAATTAACACAGTTTTATATATTTAGGACCTTTTTTGGGGGGATTTTTGTCCTCTAAGGACCGGTGAGTAATTTTTATTATTATGCTGGGTCGCTGGTACAAGCCTCCGCTCAGTTGGCGTTTCTGTGTGGAGTTTGCATGTTCTCCCTGCGTTCGCGTGGGTTTCCTCCGGGTGCTCCGGTTTTACCCACCCACAGTCCAAAGACATGCGGTACAGGTGAATTGTGTAGGCTAAATTGTCTGTAGTGTTTAAGTGAGTGTGTGGATGTTTACCAGAGATGGTTTGCGGCTGGAAGGGCATCTGCTGCTTAAAAACGTGCTGGATAAGTTGGTGGTTGATTCCGCTGTGTCGACCCCAGATTAATAAAGGGACTAAGCCGACAGGAAAATGAATGAATGGATGTTTTATTTTTCTCCATTTATTTATGCTTTTGAGTTGCATTATGGGATCTTGATCTTTCTTACAACAACTTTTAACCTTGAAAAGTTCCATAAAGTGATTTGTATTAACGTTTTTAATTGTTTAAAGTGATATATTGTCTGAGCTGGAGATACATATTATGGTGCAAAACCCTGATAAAAAACTGTCTGTAGATTTTCTGTTATGTTACAGACTTATTTCACTATACTATATATTATTTTGTATACATTATTTAATTTCAAACAACTAAAATGTCAATAAAAGTCACTGTGTTAAACTGTAGAGTTAAATTTTCAACATAAAAAGTCAACAAAGCAGAGATCAACATCCCATAATGCAATTCAGAACCGTAAATAAACAGAAAACTTTGGTGAATCACAAAATACTGAAACATCTAATATATCTAAAATGTATATTATATAATATTAATATATCATATTAATAATTTATAATTTACTATTGAAGATATCTAATGTCTATCCTATGGCTATCTAATGACTACTAATGGCTTATATCTAATATCTAATGATTTCTTTTTTCTCCTGTAGGAAAGTTGTACTGCAAACTCCACTTTGCTCAAAGGAAATCCTTAGTGAAAAATGGAAGAACAGAAACTCTACATACGGTAAACAAAACACACTTTTCCCACATCTCTTGCTTATTAGTTCTTCAATACTTACAGTTCAAGTCAGAATTATTAGTTCTACTGAATTATAAGCCCCCCTAACACATTTCTAAACACAATAGTTTCTATAACTCATTTCTAATAACTGATTTCTTTTATCTTTGTCATGATGACAGTGAATAATATTTGACTAGATATTTTTCAAGAAACTTCTATACAGCTTAAAGTGACATTTAAAGGCTTAACTAGTTTGTTAGCAACTAGCGAGTTTTTATAATTAGGCAAATCATTCTATAATGATGGTTTGTTCAGTAGAAAAAAAAATTGCTTAAGGGGGCTAATGATATTGACTTTAAAATGGCTTTAAAAAATGTAAAACTGCTTTTATTCTAGCCGAAATAAAACAAATAAGATTTTTTCCCGAAGAAAAAAAATTATAGGAATTACTGTAAAAATTGCCTTGCTCTGTTAAACATCATTTGGGAAATATTTGATTAAGGAAATCAAGGAAGTACTTCAACTGTACCTAACATTACACCCTTAATATTTCTCCTCCAGACGTGTAATGACGGCTCTCACCATGGCTCAAGCTGGACTCCAGAGAGCCATGAGGATCATCTCCAGGCTGAGTCCGCAGGTATCTTGTCCTGTGTGAAGAGAAGCCTGTGCTGGCCGCTGCACGTCAGCCAGACTGTGTGTGCTGTGCCGCGTCGTGTGTGTACATGGCTGCATGGTAAAGTGTCGGCCGCTCGAGTCCACCTGATGGACAACGCTGGCGATTACGCCTTCCTGTACGAGCTGCTCAGCGTGGGTCTGCCTCTGCTGGCCATTCTCCATGAACAGCTGCTGCAAATGTATGCCGAGGCTGAACCGTTCAATCTCCAGCCTCTACAGCACTGGCTGGAGGAGCACATGGGCCACTGGGTCTTAGCGTGATACATAGGTTTAATATGGAAGTGGACAATTGTTCAGAAAACACACATTGAACAACCTTGAGATAAAAAGTAGCAGTTGTGTTTCGATGAACAAAAACAGTCTGAACTTGAGAGATTCAGACTGTGAAAATGAACCGCTCGGTTTGGAGTGTGTGCAAATTACCAAAGCCTTACTCAGTTGACCTTATGCACAGTTAATGTAGATTTTGATGAGCCAGTAATGCAAAAAAATGCTCTTAATTAGAGTTTCTGTCTTGTTTCTAGTCTAAATATATTTTTAAAAAATCTTAAATCTAGAAGCTATTTCTAGACAAGTGAAAAATACTGTTTTATTTAGGGATATAATATGTCAACATAGGCTCATTCTGAAAACGTAGCCCTATATACATTTCTGGAGATCACTAATTATGTAGCCAGAAGTACGTATGGCATGCTTTTCATCTTTAAAACAAACGTTACGGGGCGATATGATGCCGTTTTTTTTTCACGCTTACAAGCTGACCACTTACCTCAGTATGGACAGCTTTCCCGCTGAAACGAAGAACAGTTCTAGAAAGAAGGTAAGACAAAAACAGAAGCCAAAAAATAAAATAAACATTAACAGGTTGAGAACGTGGTAAAATCTGAAAACATGGTAAAAATCAGGCGAGGGCTTTTGTTTTTCTGGATTTTTTTTTTAAACTGTCAGTTGGGTTTAGGGGTGGGCAGGTCAATCGGTGCTTTTGAAAACACTATTGGTTGAGTTTAGAGAAGGAGGAGGTTGGGTCAGTCAATCGGTCATTCAGTCAGTCAACATTCAGTCGACTCTGGTGGATTTATGCTAGAACAGCAGGTTCGAGTGGCACTCGCCAGAGAAATTTGACATCTGACAAAGTGTACACAGTAGCAAAAAAACTCCTGGGCCTTGGCTCCTGGGACAAATTTGGTGCTCTCCCGAAATAGCGGTACGTTTTCAGAATGAGCCGGGGTTGTAAAATTGAATTTTTTCCATAAAGCAAAGCATAATTATCTGCTAGTGGGGTAAGAAAAATAATTTTTAGATATTTTGAACTAGAAACAAGAAAATCTGTAAGTAAGAAAAACTACTTTCTGTTGAACTGTAATGTAACACTGCAAAAAAAAAAAAAAAAGTTTTTCTTACTTAGGGTTTTTATCTTGTCTTATAGTGCAAATATCTACAAATTCTTAAATCAAGAAGCTTTTTATTGACAAAAATAAATTATTGTCTGACTTTCAGAATTAATACGTCACAATTAAATGAGTTTGTCCTTAAAACAAGAAAAAATAATATACCAATATAGCCAAATAATCTTGTTTTTGCTTTGACATAAGATTATTTTGCTTACCCCAAAGTCAGATTATTTTGCTTGTTTTAAGGGAAAATAACTTAAATTTGACACTATTTCTGAAAACAAGGCATTATTTTTGCTTGTCTAGAAAAATGCTTCTTGATTTAAGAATTTTTAGATATTTGGACTAGAAATGAGACGACAAATCTAAATAAGAAAAGCATTTTTTGCAGTAAACCTTGTTCAAAATTAGTGATCTACACTTTTACATTAAAGAAAAGCTGTCAAAATAAAACAAAAGACAATAGAATAGAATAGAATAGAATAGAATAGAATAGAATAGAATAGAATAGAATAGAATGGAATGGAATAGAATGGGAGTTTTTAAAACTCAGTATTCAGTACCACTTTACCACTTTTGCAGTAAACCTTGTTCAAATATTAGTGATTTACACCTTTAAATTAAAAAAGAGCTGTCAAAAGCAAATACAATAAAATTAAATTTTTTCAAATTCTGCATTCAATACCACCTAGAAAATAATCAAAAATGAACGTGTCTGTGATTGCCTGCAATGCTGTAAAAAAAACTGTAAATGAAAACTTTTTAGGCTTTTCACAAAGGAACCTTTATCAAAGGTACTGGGTTACAAAGAAGTTTTAAAGGGGACCTATTATGCAAAAATATTTTTTATTTAAACAGTTGTCTGGCAAAGTGTGTGAATTTATTTATTAATATCTATTTATTAATTCAATTTTTTTATAATCACACTTGATAAAAGCAGAAGCACACTTTGATTGACATTCTGCTTTTTTCATCCCATGTCATCAGAGGCGGAAAGCCCCACCCATTAGTGAAATCTCTTCTTCATTTGCATAAACAGCCCTGAGTGAAAAGCAGCCATCCACCATTAGAGTTTTCACACCGTACTTGCTGAAAATCATATCAGCGACTAAGAGGCATTATGAATTTAGACTTTTATGATGCACAAATAAACACTGAAGTCTCCAAAGGGATTTATAGCTCTGCACTCTTTTCAAAAGAGCACAATCTCATTTGAATTTAAAGAGACACTCACCAAAATGCACAATTTGGATCAAAACCTCAAAAGCTCTATTCTGAGCTTCACATACACACAGTAAGGACATCAGAAACTTATTTCGCATCTTATGAGAAGAGTCATAATAGGTGCCCTTTAATATTTAAATATTGATTTGATACAAAAGTACTGGTCATTTTGACAACAATAGCTAAATGAATACTTGAGTAATACAATCTGTTCATAAGTACAGTATTAGTGCTTTTAAAGGAACCTCATGAAATTGAACAAATTCACACCATCCTTATTTCAGCTGGCTTAAAAGTGTTCTGTGCATATGGTCAATCCTAAAGTTTTGAGTAAAGAGATGAAATGTGTCAAACACAGAGTGAACTAAGCACTTTAATGAGTGAGCTGCCTTCTTGCGCACGATTTAAGACTGACATTTTTGCTTTTAATTATCAGTTTTAATTATTAATCATTCTTTGTCAAGACTGCAAGTTTACAAAAGCTGACCGATCAAGCGGCAAACACGTCTCGCCTGCTCTGTTAACCATTCACAAACACAGAAGTCACATTCTTCACGCTTGCTGTTTACACTTCTTGTGAAAATCATACCGAACAGCTGTTGGAGGAATGTTCCGGGTTCAACGCAAGCGAATCTGTTGACAGCATTTGTGAAATGTTGCAGATTACTGCAGAAAATAATTGCGACTCAAAAACAAACAAAGGAGCACAATGGAAGTCTATGGTGCAAGACATTCCAGGCAATTTCATCATCACGCCTAATAGTACAAAAGAGTGTTGTTTTGAAATGTAAAATTAAATAAATTAACTATGTCGCAGACAAAGACAGGGCTTATAAGCATTTTTTTTTTCTGTTTTTAAACGTTTATGTCCATGTATTGTCTTATCCTATAGATTTCCATTGTTGGTTTATTACTGTAGGTGTGGTTTTTTTCCTTTATACAGTTTCTGTGTTATTCGACATATAGTGATTAACCTACAGATCAACTTTAAGCTAAAACTGTTGGTAACACTTTAGTATGAGAATTAATGCGCATTTTAAAGTAACACATGAGAAAGCAGTGACGGAAATGTCACTAAATATAAATCCCTCGATTTGCAAAAAAGATTTGTGCGAAAGAGTTAATGTAAATAATAGGAGATAGAAAAGCATTTGCTGAATAAGCTCTGACTTACCGAACGTTACTGTTGGTTGCTAGGTAACCAATACCACAGTCAGCCCCTTTAAAAACTTGGATTTTTTAAATTTCTTTACATTGGGAGGGAAATCCGGCTTTTGTCCCAATAAACTCCCATTTAGGAGATTAAGGTATATACTAGGGGTGTGACAAGATCTCCTGAGACTAAATTGCGACAAGGTTTCAATTCGAGGTGAAAAGTTGTCTTATGAGTTGCGATTTTATGATAGAGCATAAGGGTGGATTGAGGACTGATGATTGGAGGCAGGATTGAATTTGAACCGCATATCAAGGGCTTTGCACACACCTGGCAACCCGGCTGCCTCGGTGTTGGGCGTCACTCATGGGTGGGTGTGACGTAACCGACTTTTTCACTGGAGTTTAAAGATTGCCGCGTCCAAAAACAATTGCTGCTACACAAATTAACCGGTTGGTAATCATGCGATGGAATAGCACTTTAGATACACTACTGGTCAAAAGATTGGGGTCAGTAGGATTTTTAAATGTTTTATAATAAGCTTCTCCTGCTCACGAAGACTGCATTTATTTAACCAAAAATACAATTCAAATTGTAAAATTATTAAATGGTATTGCACTATAAAATAACTGTTCAAAAGTAGTTTAAATTTATTTAATTTAATAATTTATTCCTATGATGATTTTTCAGCTTCATTACTCCAGTTTTCAGTCACATGATCCTTTAGAAATCACTTTAATAATAATAATAATAATAATAATAATTATTATTATTATTATTATTATTATTATTATTATTGTTGTTGTTGTTATTATTATTATTATTATTATTATTATTATTATTATTACTGTTAATATTATTATTATTATTATTATTATTATTATTATTATTATTATTGCTGTTATTATTATTATTATTACTGTGATTATTATTATTATTATTATTACTATTGTTGTTGTTGTTATTATTATTATTATTATTATTATTATTACTGTTGTTATTATTATTATTATTATTGTTGTTGTTGTTGTTGTTGTTATTGTTATTAATGGTAATAGTAATAAAATCAATATTGATTGGAGTATTAATTTCATTTGAAACTACATACAAAGTAATAAATAAATATTTAATAAATAAGTATTTAACTATTTAACTTTTTTTCTCATTTAATAAATGCCATCTTTATGAACAGCATAATTTAATTTAAATTAATAAATAAAATAATAATAAATAAAAAATAAAAAAAATAAAAACTTTTGACCAGTAGTGGATGCTTAAAGTCATAATCGTATCGCATATTCCTATTTTAGTCGCATTATTGAAGTATAGTACAGACTTAAGTCAGTGAAGCACCACAGACACACACACATCTCCTCCAAGTGCGCACACACACAGTGAACTCCTGGAGACAAACACACCTATCATAATCGTCATAATTTATGCCGTCTGGAAAAAACAGAAGTTTTCTTTTCATTCGACGTGCGGTATCAAATTCCACTAAAACAACACTCTCCTATTGGTCCTTACTTCATACTCGCATCCGGTAGCTCAGAGTTTGTCCAGTCAGTAGAGTTTATAGCAAAATATTTAGCAGTGTCTGCATGCCCTTTATGGCATAGAATTCATTAAAATAGAATTAAAATAACACCGATAACAAATAGGTACTAAACAGTTTTGCATTTTGTGATTTTTTTTAGCTGAATAAAAGACTATTTTCCATTCATATATTTCATTATTAAGGATTACGAAATAACTTATTTCATTCATGAGAAGCCAATCTTGTGTCTCGTCTCATCTTTTGGAGTAAACATCTCAACACACCCCTCGTATATATAATACGGTCTTGTAAAACAAATGCATGAATATGGTAAATTTACTAATAAACAACTGTTATTAAAGCTAATAAGCAGCTATTTAAAAGTGAGAATTGGTCCCCATACTAAAGTGTTACCACACTGCTCTTACACATGTGGTTTAATGATAACCAGGGATGCACTGATATAGAATTAAGCAGATTATAATTATCCTATTATATTGGTGTACTGTATGTGGCTTCTGGTTTTCAAGGCTACAGTTTTAAAGGGGCCTGGCGTTT